CGGACATCACGTGACTAACCCCCCCCCCCCCCCACCCCCTACCCACGCCCCTCACCCCACCCTACCCCCCCCCCCCCCCCCTGTCATTGGCCATGAGTGTGTCACCGTCAACGGCGTCGTCTGTCTACCCCAACCGAACATGGCTCATCATGTGGGGCGCATTGGGAGGAGTGCTCAACCTGGCAGCGCTCTTCATCATCAAACGATTGCTGGTATGGATGGAGACACGGGAAAAGTGGCCATCACCCGTCAAGCTCATCCATTATCCCTCGTTCACCATTGCTATCATTGCCTTTACTTTGGGTGTTGTTTGTGTCGGCATTCCAGAGAGAAAAGAAAATGGTGATGTCATCTCATCCATCGTCCTCTTGATCGGAGTCGCTTATCTCGCTCCCGTCGGTCTTCGTGAGCCGCTCTATGGCTCTGGTTGGCTCGCACTCTTCCTCGCCGTCATCGGCACTGCTATGACCTTTGGTCTGCCGAGGACCGTGCATGATTCGGGCGTCAACATCTGGACATCGGTCTTCTTTCTTGGCCTCTGCATCATCACCTTCATCGTCTTTGTCGCCATCGAGCTGGTGCTGTGGCGGACCTGGTCGCGCGGTCTCTCCGCCCTCGAGTCAGGGCGAGATCGCAGGCTTCTCATCTTTCTTTACGCGGCGATGGTGGCCACTCTGCGACAGGCCAACGCACTCGTACTCTCGGCAATCATGTACGAGGTCGACGTCCGCGCCATCGGCAATGTCATTGTCTCGTTTGTCCTCATCTTTGGTGTCAACACCCTGCTCTCGGGCTACTTTTCCGTCCTAACTCTCCACGACTACGACCTCTTTGCTGTGGTTGTTGTCTTTGCTGCCGTCCGCCACATCGGCCTCGTCATGGAGTCGTTCACCTTTGGCGAGGCCAACGTCTCGGACGATGCCTGGATCTTCTCGGTTGCTCTCCCGGCCGGCGGCGTCATTGTTCTCCTCGCTGCACTGGCTGCCATGTGGATGAGGCCCAACTTCTCCGCCCTCCACCTCTTTGACCCGTTCTCCGTCTCGTTCCTCGAGGTCACTCTGTTTGGCTCGTGCATGCCGCGCCGTGCGCCGTTCTACGACCCCAACACACTGCTTTCGGGCGCCTCACTCGACGCCTCACGCGATGCCGGCTCCGGGTCCTCGTCCTCGTCGTCGTACGAGTACGTCTACACCACCACCTCGCTCTCGACGCACGGCGGGCGAACCAGCCGCCCGCCGTCAGACTCCTCGCTCTCCGACGCTATCCCGGACGGGTCGTCGTCCGAGGCCGCCTCGGACCGCTTCGGCATCGTCAGCACGTCATCGGCGCCGTCATCGTCGGAAGTCACCACATCCACATCGTCGCACTCGTCCAGCGAGCAAGAGGAGCGGATCTCGGTCTCGTCCATGTCTGCTGGCGCCGAGCGCGACATCCGCTCGCCACACGAGCTTGCCAACATCCACCTCGCCTCGCTCCGCCCGGCGCCGCGCTACGACGTAGCCATCACCGCCATGACGCTCGGCAAGCCGGTCGCACCAGGCTACCACTGGAACCTGCCGCTCCTCCGCCGGCCGGGCTCGGAAGTAGGGAGCAAGCTCCCGCCACGCTGCGACGGCGTCCACCTCATGCGCTCGCACTACTCGTGGACCACGAGGTCGATCTTTGCCTGTAGCTACCTCGCCATCATCTCGGTCCTCTACTTTTCGGCAACTCTCATCCTCATGGCCGCGCTCTACAGGGTCTGCCCTATCCCGACCAACGAGAGCCGCATGTTGTCGCCGCCGCCGCCGCTGCCGGCCTCGTTGCTCCACCCAGCCGACAACGTCCCGCTCTCACAGTTGCGGATGCTCGGGACCCACAATTCATACCACCTCGCTCCGCGCAAGGTCTTTCCGGGCTTTAACCAGGGCGCCCGGTTTTGGCGGTACTCACACAAGCCGCTGATCGATCAGCTTGCGCTCGGCGTCCGCGCCTTTGAGTTGGACCCGCATGTCCGGTCCGAGTCAATCTCGGTCTGGCACGTCAACATCTGGGACGACTTTTCGCTCTGTCCGTGCTTTGTCACCTGCCTCCGAGTCTTTCGCGAGTGGTCGCGCGACCACCCGGGCCACGTGCCCATCATCATCCAGCTCGAGTTCAAGTCGCTCTGGTTTGCCGACCTTGTTGCCGGCATCAACGGCGTCCATCTCGACTCGCTGGTCATTGTCGAGCGCGACATCCTCCGCATCATAGGCCGCAACGCTATCTTTACCCCTGATGACCTTCGCAATGGCTCAGCCACCCTCCCGGACGCACTCGCTGCAAACTCGCCGCCCGGCTGGCCGCGCCTTGGCGCCCTCCGCAACAAGTTCATCTTTATACTCGACGACGCCTCGTCCACCCGCGCCGCCTATCTCGCGCCGTCGCTCGTCCTCCGCAACCGCATCATGTTCACCACCACTGTCGACGGCGAGGCCGTCTCGCCATGGACCTCGGTCTTCAAGTACAACTCGCCGCTCTCCGAGTCGGGCGCCAAAATCGCCGAGCTCGTCACCCAGGGCTTCCTCGTCCGCACCCGCGCCGACACCGAGGACCTCTCCGAGCAAGTCGATGAGAAGCGGGCCATCGCCGCCAACGACTCAATGGCCCAGATCGTCTCGTTCGACTGGACGCCCGAAATCAAGTGGGCTTCGTACTTTTCGCCTTCGCTCCTCGCCTGCATCGCCAACGCCACCGTTCCCTGCTCGTCATGGTGGGAGTGGGAGCTGTAGCCATGTTAAATTCCCGCCACCCGACGCCGCTGACATCTCACACCAACACTCGTCGCGCGATCATGAGCATCCGCACCCTCCTCACGACGCTCATCAGCGAGCTCGTGGCGCATACCTCCCACCATCCTTGGGCCTCTCCTCAGGCCGACATGCGGGCGCTTGCCTGCTCGATCCTCGCCTCGCACCCACCTGGCGGCGTCCATCTTCCGCCGGCCGCCGGACATCCGCACAATCTCCTCGAACACGCCCGCCACGGCAAAGACCTCCGGACCCAACGGCCGATCGAGTGGACGACGCTCTCGAGCCTCTCGCGCGATCTCCCGCTCCCGCCATCGGCCTTTACCGCAGCTGCCGCAGCCATCGCCGCAAGATCCACCGCCGTCCCTGTCCCCTACATCACCGGCTTTACCGAGTTTGGCGAGCATCTCTTCCGGGTCGCCTCGCCCGACGGCGACCGCGTCCTCGTCCCTCGCCCTGCCTCGGAGCTGCTTGTGGAGCGAGCCACAAAGGCGCTTACCAGTCTCTCTTCACCCGCTGCCTCGGTCCTCGAGCTCGGTGTCGGCTCTGGCGCGGTGCTCATCTCGGTCGCGGCTGCTGCCGCCGACTTGCCGCGGCCCGTGGCTGCCGTCGGCGTCGACGTGGCGCCGGCCGCGCTACGGCTGGCGGAGGTCAACGCCCAGGCCGTGGCGGTCGATGCCAAGAAAGAGCTTGATGTCTCGCTTCTCGCCTCGTCGTGGATGACCGAGCTGCTGGCCTCGCCGGCTACCTTTGACGTCATCATCTCCAACCCGCCTTACCTCTGCTCGCACGAGATCGGCGCGGCGCCCCACTCGCCGCTCGCCCACGAGCCGCGGGGCGCACTCGACGGCGGCGAGCATGGTCTTGACCCGTACAAAGAGCTCTTTCATCCTGATGCACCCGATGGAGCGACTGCACTCGACGCTGCGCTCACTCGCGAGCGCGGCGGGCGGATCCTGCTCGAAATCGGCTCGTACCAGGCCGACGACGTGGCGTCGTTGGTCCACGCCTCGCGACGGTTCGCCGTCGTTGACGTCCACAAAGACCTCGAGGGCTGGGACCGGGTTGTGGAAGTCGCTCGTCTTTAGTGGCTCTCCGGCGACGGACCGGTCGGCGTCCGATGCAGGTACGGAATGGGCGTGACGGGGTCGGGCCCGGCCGGATGGCTCTGGCTCGGCGTGCGCGGCAGTGGCATGAACGGAACGGGCGAGGCCTTGTGGACCGGCGGGAGTGCCAGCGGGCGCCGCCGTGCCGACGACGGGGTTGGATGAAGGCCGAGGATCCGGGTCGGCGAGAGCGAGCTGTGGAGCATCGAGGCCTCGGATGCGAGCGCCGAGTCCTCCATAGTCGATGCCTCCAGCGACCGGTCGCCGCGGACCAGGCCCGGGCCAGCGTAGGTTGTTGTCGGGCGCGACGGGCGAGCGCCGGCTGCAGTGGAGCTCCCGAGTGGTGTCTCGGCCCTGCCAAGCGGCGTCGCCACTGAGGCGTCGATGCCGATGCGGCCGCGGGCAGCAGCGCCCGCTGGCGTCTCGGCGAGATGGACCGGCGACGGCGCGAGCGCCGCTCGTGCAACTCTGCCGCTGCTGCCGCTGCTCCGCAGCGGGCGTGGCGCCTTGGCACCTGTCGAGAACGGCGAGCGGCGCGGCGCGGCGTCGGTCATCGGCAGCGGTGCCTCGGAGCTGTCGAGCTCAGCAAGACGAACGCCGCGCCCAGCCGAGCCTCCGGCCGCGACAGCCGCCAGTGCATCGTGGCGCGGCGTGGCCGGTGGCGACGGCTGGACTGCAGTTGGCCGCTTCGAGCCCATACCTTGCCCGCGAACGTAGCTTGCGACGGCGACAACAGCCACCGCGCCGATGCAGAGGACCGCGAGCACAATGAGAATGACCCAGACTGCGACGTACTTGGACCACGTGGTCGGCGGAGCCGCGGCGTGTGCAGAGGCTGCGGGTAGATAGGCATCGGCGTCAGCAACATACACACTCGGTGCGAGCGCAGCATAGCCAGGGTCAGACGGCGCGGCCACGGTCCCGAGCGGGACTGTCGGTTCGGCCGCGAGCGCCACGAGCGCGTCGGCCGAGAGCTCAACGGTGGCCGTGCCGGGAAGGCTGAGCGAGGTGGCGCCGGCAGCGGCCAGGAGCGGCGATGCAGTCATGTCGAGGGTCACGGGGCCGACCGGCGTTGACGCCAGCGAGATGGCGATGCTGAGCACGGCGAGCATCCCAGTCTGGGCGCCGGGCGGCGGCGGGGTAAGGACCGCGGTGGCGTTGATGGCGATGACGTCTGTGTCGACAAAGATGACGGCGTCAGCGACGGTGGAGGCAAAGCCGCTGTAGAAGAGAGATGCCGAGGAGGCGGCGTCTGGCCCGGCGACGACCAGCGGGCCGAGGCTGAGGCCGGCCGGAAGCTGCGGCGAGCCGTCGGCGGCGCGGTGGGCGACTGGCGAGCCGAGAGCCACGACCGAGATGGTCTGTGGAATGTTCCACTCGCCGGGCGCAAAGGCGACCGAGGTGGTACGCAGCTCGATGTGTGGCGAGTCGATGGCGAGCGGGACCGAGATAGTTGTCCCAGGTGCCGGCGGGGTGGGAAGCGTGAGCAGGAGCGAGAATGCGGTGCCGGCGTCGGTCTCACGAACGACCAGCGGGAGCGGCGGCGCAAAGTCGAGCCGCGGGTCCGAGCCCCATGCCAGCGTGGTAAACGAGACTGGGGTCGAAGCAGCCGACGCGAGACCGGCCGAGCTGGTCACAGCCAGCCGCGCGGTGTAACTGGTCGACCCGAGGAGGCGGAAGAACGGATCGCCGCCCGACGACGCCACATACTGGGACGGCCAGCCGGACGAGATGACGGTGAGCTGGCTGACGGTGAGCGTTCGCGAGCCGATGCCGTCGACAGAGATGGTGACGTTGGCGAGCGAGGCGAGCGTGCCACCGAGCGCGTCAGGCGAGTTGATGGTGAAGCTCAGCTCGACGTAGGTCTCTCCAACTCCGGCGACCGCAACGCTGGTCGGCGCAGCTGGGATGCCGGGCGCGGTGGCGCCGTCAGCAGTGACGGCGGCCGACGTGAGGCCGGCATCTGAGGTGGCTGTCGCCGTGACGGTGTACCCTGTGCCCTGAGCAAGGCCGGTAAAGGTGGTCGAGAACGGCGCAGACGCCGGCAGCGTCTGCGAAGTTACGACGCCCGATGCGTCGACAAGGACGAGCGTGACGTTGTCGAGTGCAACAGCGGCGCCACCAGAAAAGGCTGGGAGACTCCACGTGGCGGCAAGCGTTGCGGGGGTACCGACTGGCGCGGGCGCCGACGACGGGCTCAGCGAGAGCAGCGGAATTGCTGACGGCGGCGCCACAGGAGTTGTGAACGCAAGCGGGGCCGAAGCGTGCGAAGTGACGCCGAGCGAGTTGTGCGTGGCAAGTGTGAGCTCGTAGCGAGTGCCCGGAACGAGGGCGTGGAGACGCCAGGGCTTGGCCGCCGGAAGGACGAAGGCGACGGGCGTGTAAGGCGCGTCCGGGCCATCGAAGCGGGTGAGGCTGGCGTTGTAGGCGGCGACGTGGGCAGAAGCAGCACCGACGGCGAGAGGTGGCACAAAGTCGAGGTCGGACGAGACGGTGTGCGGGTCTGTGGCGAGCGCTGGGGCGATAAGCAACGACGAAACGAGCTCGAGTAGGCCTGGTGGGTCCGGCGGGCCGACTGGCGTGACAACCACGAGCGGCGGGGTGGAGAACGGCGAGAGCAAGCCGGCCGAGTTGAGGGTGGATAGGCGGATGGAGAAGGTGGTGCCGGGCAGGACCGAGAGGAACAGCGTAGCCGAGGTGGCGTCGTCTGGAGTAACAGCAACGACATCTGCGCCTGCGGCCGGACCTTCGGTAGCAACATATGCGATATGATAGCCGGCGACTGCGAGCTGTTCGCCGCCGCCAAATCCTGTCTCCACGGGCGCGTTCCACTGCAACGAGATGGCGCGCGGAGCCGGCGGCGAGGCGATGGCGAGATCTGTGGGCGGATCAGGCGACGATGGCGAAGTAGCGGCCGAGACCGAAGGCGAAGGCGGCGACGACTTGCCTGCTTCCGTCATGGTAACAACTGTGAGGTCGTAGTTCCAGCCCGGCTGAAGGCCCGTGACGGTGTGGGAGGTGAGCGAGGGCGAGGCGAGGAGGACCGAGACCGGGGAGGGAGCCGCAGGAGAAGGCGGAGGAGCGGCGAGAGCGGTGGCGGCGATACGGAAGCCAGCAATGGGCGAGGGAGGAGCACCCGTGTATGTCGGCAGCTGCCACGAGAGAGAGACAGACTCGGCAGACGAGCCAGTCACCGCCAGCCCTGACGGAGGGTCAGGGAGGGAGCCAGCTGCAGAGGCCGAGCTGGTGAGGAGGAGGAGAAGGAGGAGGACGGGGCATGTGGGCCACCATACCCGCATGCTTGGAGGGGGTAGGAATGTGGGGGAGGGGAGGGGGAGGGAGAGAGAGAGAGAGAGAAGGTAAAAGGTCGTGGTTCTGTGCGCGGGGGGCGGAGGGTGTGGTGCCTGTGCGCGCCAAGGGTGGCATGGGCGACAGACCGAGTTTGGCGCCAAAATACGAGAAATGGCGCCAAAATATGGTGGCGCCAAAAATGTTAAACGTCACGTGAGGATGAACCATAAATTCAAGGAGAGGCTTTGATGGTGGCTGTGGCTGTGGCGAGGTGGCGAATGTTCCAGAAGAGTGAGGCGAGGCGCGGCATGTTGCCAAACGTGGCGGAGGGGGGGGGGGGGGGGGGACAAGGGCCACATACAGGGGACCGGGTGATACCTGACCACTTTTATTCCATTGTACACCATGTCTCGTAACCGTCGTCGTCGCTGTGTGGCTTGCTCGCGGGCTGTGGCGCCCGAGGGCTTTGCCAAGGACATGCTCCTTGCCGAAGCCGATGTCCGTGTCTGTCTCAAGTGCCAGGGGCAGGGCCAGGGGCAGGGCCAGGGCCAGGGTCAGGGGCAGGGCCAGGGGCAGGGCCAGGGGCAGGGACAAGGCATGGGGGCGGGTATGGGCCAGATGGCTACGCGCGGATCGGTGGAGGAGCACGAGGCGGCTACCATGCGGGCGCAACAGGAGGCTGACTATCAGGCGGCGGCTCGGGCGCAGCAGCAGGCCGATTACGAGGCGGCGGTGGCGGCAGAGGCGCAGGCGGCGGCTCGGGCACAGCAGCAGGCCGATTACGAGGCGGCGGTGGCGGCAGAGGCGCAGGCGGCGGCTAGGGCGCAGAAGCAGGCCGATTACGAGGCGGCAGAGGCGGCGGCAATGGCAGAGGCCGAGGTGGCCGGACGGGCAGCAGCGATGGCCCGGGCACAGGCCGAGGCCGAGGCCGAGGCGCAGGCGCAGGCGCAGGCGCAGGCGCAGGCCGGCGCAGGCGCAGGCGCAGGGCCTGGGGCTGGCGCGGGAGGCTCTCTGGTGGAGGCGCAGGAGGAGACGACGATGATGCGGTTCCCAGGGATGCAGACCGCGTTTGCGGCGCGCGCCGAGGCCGATCCACAGCTGTCCGAGGCGAGCAAGACCATTGCCGCCAACACGTTTGTGACGGGCTACGAGCAGAGCGCCGACGGGCGGTTCCGGATCGAGTTTACCACCTTTGGGCGCGGCGACAAGGCGGTGCAGTTTGACGCTGGTTGGGTGCCGATGCCATGGGAGGAGGCCAGCGAGGTGCTTCCGGACCCGTCTGCACTCCAGGGCCGCGTGGTGCGGGTCCGGCCGAACCCGGCCATTCCCTTCCGCCCGGTCTTTGGCACGCTGATGGACAGCAAAGACGCGTGGGCGGTGCCCGCGCCCGAGGGCGCGTGGGGCCTCATCCTCGCCACGCTCGACCTGGAGGGTCTCGTCGCACCCGAAGACCTCGTCCAGTTTGTGGCCTTCCTCAACGACTTTCCGGTCCGCGGCTTTGTCTCGCTCGACGACATCGCGCCGTTCCTCTCCGAGCACGAGCACATGGCTGTTGTCCAGCAGCTCCAAGGCCCACAGTAGCCGCTGCAGGCGGTCCTCGCGCACGTCGGCCAGGCACCGCGCCACGGCTTTGGGAGCAAGTAAACCGGCAGATGTCGCCACACACACTCGACTCGCCAGAGTGAGCCATGTGGACAGCGAGTGAGCAGCTGGCCCAGTACCAGCCGGCTGTGGTCTGGTTGCTGTATGTCTGCGGCATGCTCGTCATTCCGCTCCACGTGTGGTACCCGTGGCTGGCAGAGCATGTCCAGCGCGGGTACGACGGACCGCCGTGGTTTGCCATTGCCCTCGTCGCCCTCTGGCTCCCCGCCATTGTCTCGCTGGTGGCCATGCGCGCAGGTACGGATGGATGGGGGGGGAGGGGTACGGACTCATCGGGAAAGGGACGGCTGACCGTGGGCGTGATGGCGATCTCATCTGATGCGATGCTGTGCTGTGACCCCGACGCGACGGATGCCGTGACGGGTGCTGTGCCGGATGTGGTGGTGGCTGCTGTGGCGGACACTGCTGTGTTGAAACGCGTGACGGATCCCGTGGCGGATCCCGTGGTGGATCCCTGCCATCGCCGCCTCTGCCACCATCGCCGTATCAGTCATCCTCACCGACCCGGGCTACCCGCCACCCAACTACAAGCAATCTTCCAAACGATGCTCACGCTGCAAGGTGGGCAAACCGCCACGATCGCACCACTGCTCGACGTGCAACCGATGCGTGCTGATGATGGATCACCACTGCGGCTGGCTTGGAGTATGCATCGGTCACGCAAACCGCAAGGCCTTTGCGCAGATGCTGGTGTGGATGCTGGCTGCCATCTCCATCCTTGTCGCCGTCTCGTGGCTCCGCGTCTACACTTGGCTCATTGTCCGCCTAGGCGACTACCGTGATGCCCCGGCCTGGCACCGCGCCGTCGACTTGCGGATTCTGCCATCACAGACCGGCTCGGCCGAGCTGGCTCTCCTTGCGCTCGCCGCCACCGTCTACCCGCTGGCCGCGCTTGGCATCGCCTTGCTCCTCACCGCCCAGCTCCGCAACATGTGGCGGGGCGTGACTCAGATCGAGTCGTGGGAGCTGGCTGCAGCCACTGAGGCTGCCGCAGCCATGCCGGGCTGCCCTACGCCTTACTTTCCTTACGCTGCGCCGTCGGGCATGGCCAATCTGCGCGCCGTGCTTGGCCCGCTCCCGCTCTTCTTCCCCATCCATCTCTCGGCCCCAGTCTACGGCTCTGGCGTCGTCTTTACCAAGCATCCGCCACCATCGCCCACACACGCCGACATGTACACCATGTAGCTAGTCGCCCCCCTCCCCCCTTTCTCTACAAATTCGGCGCCTCATAGCCCGGAATGACATCGGCGCCGTCCGAGTTCTTGATCAGCGCCGTCTGCGCGTCGCCACTCGGCGCGTCCTCCAGCTGCAGCGGCAGTGCTGGCGACGTGTCATGGACAAGGACCCAATACATGCAGCCTGCAAACGGAAAGAGGAGCATACTCACCAGAAACACGATACACACAGCCTTGCCTGCGTTGCTTCCGGCCTTGACTGCCCCCACCGCAAAGCCGACCATAGCTCCCACGTAGAGGCACGCCATCGCTCCAGCCCCCGCCACCATGGCCCTGCTCACCTCTTGACTTCCACTTGCCAGTCCTTGTCGCGCATCGACGGGCGACCGCTGCGCCGCCTCGACCTCGCCCATGAACGCATGCGTATCATACACCGAGCTCCGTCCTGACACCGACATGCTTTCGCTGATAGCGATAGTTGTCGTCAGAGTGATGTCCACCGCACGTTCGTCTCAGGAGCAAGTACTCTGTCCACGCTGCGGCGATGTTGTTGCCACGATGCCCGATGCGATGCTGTTGATGTCGATGACGGCTCGAAGTCTGCCAATTGATCAATGGCCAACGTTCCAACAATCGATGACCCTCGCCAGCCAACCACCTTCTCAATCCTCGCCTGCGGTAGACACACGGACGCCACAACAACACCACTTGCTACAGATACCAGCCACCACACACCTCGTGCGCTTGTCGAGTTGGGTGCGTGCAAATGGGAGAGGTGCCCCAAACAAGCACGCGCCACCTCCGCCCTCTCGCCGCGCTTGCCAAACAGGGTCCCTCTCTGTCCCGTCTCGCTTTCCTCCATTTGTTCCGACTGTGGCCATTTGTTCCGATCAGCAGCAGCGTCTACGGCTCTACGACGACGAACTCCTGGCTGAAGACGGGCGTGTCGATCGCGACGATATGCCGCTGCTGGACGACGAGCCGAGCAGCGAGGTGGTTGATGACATGGTCGAGGACTCTGGCGAGCGGCGTGTGACCGAGCCTGCGTCACCAAACGCGTCGCGCGAGTACCGCCCGCCGCGGACACTTAACCCAGTCGCCTCCGACTTTTCCAGCAGCGCGTAGTTGGACCAGTTTGCGAGCGCCGTGGCAATCGGCGATGGGAACTCGGCCGTCTCGCCACCGGGCTTGCCTGTCGCCAGCACCAGTGGCGTCCCGGTCAGCGACTCCTTGAGCACGTAGGTACCGTAGATCGGCGACGACGCGCCGCCTGTCCACAGCCAGGCACCTTTGCGCGACGGCGATGCGCCGGCGCCGAGCAGCAGCAGCACCATGTCCCGCGATTCGCGAAGAACCGCCAAATGCAACAGCGTGCCTGAGATGAGGAACTTCTGCTCCGAGAACCGCCAGTCGTGGGCACCCGTGCCGCCGCGGGAACCCGTGCCCTGGCGGCGTCCTCCCGCCGTGACGGATACACATCAAAGGCTGTCGACTGCGTATGAGCCGACATGTGCTGGTAGCCACCAGTGGCGGTGTGCAGGATCTCGACGTGCTTCCATCCATCGGTAGCCGTCGTCACATACCGCTCCCGTCCACGGAGCCTTCCGCGCGTCACTGCTCTCCGCTCGTACTCTGACGAGAACTGCAGGGCGGCCGAGGCCGAGACAGCCCGACCGCCGCGGGCCAGGATGGCTGCAGCCCGCTCTACATCGCCTCGGTTCACCGCGTCTTCCAGATCGCCTTGACGTTGTCCGAGAGCAGCTGCTCCGTCCGCGAGTTGGTGATGTTGACGTTGAAGACCCGCGTGCCGAGGAAAGTCGGCGTGAAGAGGAGCGTCGGGACGAGGCGACCACGGTCGACAAGCTCCGCACGGAGCGTGCAGGTCACCACGCGCACCGCCGGCTTGTCCACGCACGAGCCTTCGAGCAGGACCGCCGAGACGTAGGTCACATCCTCGGGGTACTCCACGTTGAGCACCAAGTCCTTCGCCGGGTTCCGCCCGCCATTGACCACCACGTCGCCACGGATCTCCATCGTTCCACCGCGCGGCGACGGGACAGGGCCGTACGACGTGGCGAGCGCCACGTTGGTCGTCTTGTCCAGCAGCTCCGAGCCAAACACCACGTTGTTCGAGGTGTCAAAGTCGGGAATGCCGGTGTTTGTCACCGCAACTTGTGCGCGGATGGTGTCCGCCGCCGTGAACGGCGCCTCGACGAGAACATCGATGCTCATCTCTCCGCCGGCCAGAATCTGCGGCCACGTGCACGTCACGTTGGCGGCGGCGCCCGACACCACACACGTCACGCCGTTGGCCGACTGCGCCGTGAGGCCAGTCGGCGGCACGCCGTACACGGCCGGGATATGGAAGACCGTCGTTGCACCTGCCGGAATGTCGGACGCCGACGAGCCGGCCTTGAGGCCGATCGACCAGCGGACAGGCACCTCGGGAATCATGTACAGCGGGCGGTTGTTGCCGTCGAGCAGCCGCGACGGCGGCTGCAGCGAGACACCGGCGTCGACCGCAAAGTACGAGTTGACCACAACAGCTGCATTGTTGTCGTGCAGGTTCTCCTCGAGCTCAAGCGTCGTCTGCGTCGTGTTCATCAGCACCGGAATCGGCGCGTCGGACGAAGACATCGTCTTGAACCGGTAAAAGACCGACCGCGCTTCGAACCGAGGCGCGTCAAACTTGCACGAGACCACATAGTTGGCCTGGTCCCACACGCACGCCGGTGAGAACGAGGACGGCTGCGGCGCAGAGAGGAGGTACTGGATGCCAGTAGGCACCGTCAGGTTCGCCTCTACTCCAGCACACACCACCCGGCCGATGTTCTGGAACGTCGCAACCAGATTGAGGCCCTCCGAGCCGGCAACCACAGACGTCGGCGACGCAATGAGGTTGACCACAAGGTCGCACGTCTGCGTCACGTTGTATGCCTTGGTCACCGCCACATCGTTGGCCGAGTTCGAGTCGTCCGAGTCGGTCGTCACGGTAAAGGTCTGCACGTACTGGTTGTTGGTCACCAGCGACGTGATGCCGTCGAGGACCTGAAGCGTGTACGTGACGTTAAACTCCTCGCCGGACCGGAGCCGCGGAATGGTGCACGTCGACGCGCCGCCGCATGCCACGGTGTGGGTCGGCGACGTGTCCTGGGCCACCACCGAGTCGTAGAAAAACGCCGACGTCGGCATGTTCGACGACAGCTGCACGTTGTACGCCGTCACCATCGCAGGTGCCGCGCGGACAACAACGACATACTCGATAAAGCCATCGAGGATGACAGAATTCGCCTCGGGCGGCTCCGACACAATCTGCACCGAGATGTCGACCGGCGCCGTGAGGCTAAACGAGTCCGAGCCGGTGGCGCCGTCCTCGTCCACCTCATCGGCGACAACCGAAAAGGTCACCGTCCGGGCCACGTTGGGCGTGTCGACGGTCGTCGAGAACGTGTACGTGATCGTGCTGGGCGTGGGGCTGACCGGAATCGCGTTGAGCGGGCAGGTTGAGACCATAAACGTAGGCGCACCAGACTTGGGCGCCAGCGTGCACGCGCCGGCGAGGAGCGCGCCCGACGGTGCATTGAGCGAGAGGCCCTCGGCGGTCTCAAACTCAAACGTGGCGACGCCGTTGTTAGCCACCGAAGCGCCGTTGTTGCGGAAGGAGGCCGTGACCGTCACCTGCGCCGGAACGGCAACAGACGCAACCGGAGCGACGACCGAGGTCACCTCCAGGTCGGCCATCGGCAGGCCGCGGAGCATGATGACACGGCCGACAGCCTGGGTAGCCATGCCCGACGCGTACCAGAACGGATGCGAGACAATGAGGTCGTTCCACGAGTCACCGTCAATGTCGACAGCCGAGACCATGGCACGACCAAACATGCCGTTCTCTTCAGGCATGGTGATGGCCTGCGCCGGCGTGGCGCCAAGGAAGCCGGTCACCGAGTCGCAGCCGCGGAACACGTAGACCGCGCCCTCGACGTTGTCGCCGGTGTTCGGCGCACCGATGACCACGTCCGGGCACCCGTCTCGGTTGAGGTCACCAGCAGGCGCAATCGCCTCTCCAAACTGGCCGTAGATGGCCGGGCCGGCCACCATCTGCGCAGCAGTCGTCGACGAAAGACCCGAAGCCGAGCCCGCGTACACGTACACGGCGCCGTCGTTGCCAGCGTTGACCTGGCGGAACGGCGCGCCCACAAGCAGGTCCATGAACCCATCACCGTTGACGTCGGCTGCGGCGAGGCCGCGGCCAAAGCCCGAGTTAAACGACGGGCCAGTGACAGCCCAGCCGGGCGTGGTCGACATCGTGGTGCCGGTCGTGCCGGGATAGACCAGGACGCGCCCGGTGTACCCGATGCCGCCCGACTGCTGCGTGTCCGAGTGGCGCGGCGCGGCAACAACAAGGTCGACACGGCCGTCACCGTTGAGCAGGTCAGCACGGGCATAGAGCCGGTTGCCAAACATGCCAAAGCCTTCGGCACCACGACGCGAAGACTGCGGGTTCTGCAGCCGCGTGTCATCAACAGTCGTACCAAAGTTGGACCGCGGGTTGTTGTAGATGTAGACGTAGCCCTCGCCACCGTACGGGGAGCCAAGGAGGTGGCGGCCGACAGCGACGCCGCCGGACCCGGTCAGCGTCGCACCGATGGCCACCGCGGAACCGATCTGCCCAGCGTTGTTCCAGCCCAGGCGGTCGCTCATCGGGTTCTCCTGGGCGTTGCGCCAGCGGCAGCCACCGGCACCCGAGCACGCCGAGCACGTCCGGGTGTGGGTGATCGTCGTTGTGTTGATTGTCCGCTCAAGCGTGGCCGTGTAGACCGAGCCGGTCGACGGCCGCGGGAGCGTCGAGTCGGGCGCCGAGACCTCGCCGTTGACAATGCCCAGCCAATGGCCCGAGACCGGGTCGCGGACGCGCAGAGCGTCCGAGGCATCGTTGACCCGCTCGACAACCGAAAAGTCCCATGAGGCGTAGAGCGTCGGCGACGGCGCCGGCGCGCACCCGATCGAGTCGGCAATCTGCGTCGCAGACCGGAACTCGTTCCACATGCGGACAAGCGAGATCTCAGAGTCCTCCAGCGAGTTGGAAGCCGAAGTGTAGCGGTAGCGGTAGCCGTTGTTAAGCCGGCCGGCGACAAGGAACGAGCCAACGCCACCGAGCGAGCCGGTTGTCGTCGTGCCTGACGCAACCTGTGCGCCATCAACGTACACAATGGTCTGGCCTGACGAAGCGGTCCGCCACGTCACCGCAATGTGATGCCACATGCCGTCGGCGACGTTAGCACCAGTGTTGAGGTTGGAGCCGCGGAAGCGAGCCCTAAGCGCGTTGGGGTCGTACAGCCGGAACGCGTCCGAGTGCGACGACGAAGCGTAGTGCGCGAGCGAGCCGACCGTGTCGGTTCCACGGTAGAAGAGCTCAAAGGTGAGCGTGGAGGTCGGCCATCCGGCGCCGACCTCGGTGTGCCACAGGAAGCCCGAACCAAAGGTCACGTCGTCAAAGCGGATGAACTGGCCGACGTGCCAATGGCAGCCCGACGAGGGGATGCCGATCGAGGTCACGGCAATCGACTCGGAGATGAGCGTCTCGACGCGGGTCTCGACTGAGGTCGTCTCGGAAATTGTCTCGCGGTAGACGCCCGAGACGGTGCCGAGCGACTGCGGGATCCCGGTGTCGAGACGAACGCCCCAACCCGGGTACGAGACCGGCGACGAAATGACCGTGTCGACCACGGTAGAGTCGACGCAGCTCGCCTTGCACGAAGTTGAGCAGTGGTCGTCGCGGTAGAGGAAAGCCTCGCCACGGTAGCCGTTGTCGTTCGAGCCACCGGCCTGCGGCGCGCCGACAACAAGGTCCATGTAGGCATCGCCGTCGGCGTCACCGATGTCGAGCGAGACGCCAAACGAGGCGCGGATGACCGCGTCCCAGTGGCTGTAAGACGACGGGAGCTCCAGATGACCGTCGGCCACCGTCTCAAACGAGTTGGACGTGCCCATGACAAGCGTGACGCGCCCGGCGTCAAGTCCACGCCGCGTATCGTACGCCGGCGAGCCGATCGCGAGGTCCATCTCACCGTCGGCGTTGAGGTCTCCCATCGCAAGCGAGTAGCCAAACGACTCACGGTGCTGGGTGCCGGTGATCTGCCACGACGGCGTCGACGCAAACGGATCAATGAAAAGCGGGTAGGCGACGCTGCCGGTGGCCGGGAGCGTCACCTCGTACGCCAACGTAGCGCCGTCGTCTGAGCCCACAAAGCGGGCGGCGAGCGGCGTGCCGTCGGCGTCAAAAGCTACAGGCGCAGAAAGCTCGAGGAGGACAGCGTCTGCGGCGGAGCGCACGATAAAAGCGCCGGTGTCGGCGTCGACAGAGCTCGACGCCACAGCCTGAGACGTCGTAACGTCAAAGGTGAGCGAAAAGGTGGTGCCCGGCGCCGAAGGGCCGGTCAGGAGCTTGAGCGAGTGCTCGAGCGCACCGACCTGCTTCGCCGTCTCGAGCCACTGCTCGGCGACGACAGAGACCTTGGCCACATCGGGTGCGACCGTGGCGTAGGTGAAGACGTGCGACATGAGCCGCGCGTCGCCGTTGGACCCACCCAGGGCGCACTTGAACGGCGCGTCCGACGCGCCATGGCCCGGCGAGAGGCGCGCTTGGCGGGTTTGGAGCGAGAGGCGAACGCCCCACGCAGGGGTAGCCGAGTCCAGGGCTGCGGCAAAAGTCACGGCCGGACCAGCAAGGAAGCCGGTGAGGCGGCCCGCAGCAAGCGGGAAACGCCCAGAAAACTTGGCATCAATATCGCGGTGCGGCGCGACAACAGCGGCAGCCTTTCCGGTGGTACCGGGCACACACTGCCGCAGAGGCGACCCAAGGACACCACCCACAACCGTGAGTGCTGCCACAAGGGCCACAAGTTGGAGCACAACGACCTTCATGCCGAGGCTCGAGGTCGAGGACAAGTGGAAGGTGACTCAAGAACAAACGTTAAAACAAGATCAAAGTCGATCAAGTGGCGCGTTGGAGCCAAACGCGTGCCGAATCGATCAAAAAGTGGGTGTTCCCAGGAACGAAAAAAGCGTTCAAAGGGCCGACGACGAACGAACGGTAAGGCGAGCGCGGGACGGCTGGGGTTTTTTTGCAAGGAACCGACGAGTTCGGGTGTGGGGCAGAGGAGAGGGGTACGCAGCAAGTGGGAGAATACACAAGCAGCGGAGAAGAAAGGGGAGGGCGTGTGTTGGCCTTCGACAAAGCCTAGAGAGTGGGTATAGGGTGGGAAGATGGAGGAGGGAGGGGGGGGGAGGGGGGGGGGGGGCGAGGCGAGGGTGGTGGAAGGTTTTGGGGGGAATGTCGAGTGTCGTTCGCCTAGCATGGCCAATATCGCTGCTGCCTTGCCTCATTTCCCGCAATTGCGTCATCTGGCCCATTTTGGCCGCCCGACTCCCCCCGTTTCGGGGGAATTATTGGGCGCCTGCTTTTCAACGAAATGCAAACACTTTGATGTCTGATTGGGCAACGTTCGGAGCGTGTTTGTTCGTTACTGTTGGCAATTGCGAACCTTCCTCTCGCAGCGACCATGAACTGGACATTGGCCGCCGTGCTAGTTGTTCTTGCCTTTGCGGCACAGACGAGTACGTCCACACGTGGTAGAAGAGAGGCTTGCCACCGTCACCACCCTGTGCAACAATAGAATGCACGAGTGCTGGAATGTATGGTGGCTGGCGAGGTGGCCGCATGCCCGCTACGCCCAACACGGGCACGCCGGAGGCAGGCTGTGTGGCGCGGTTGGTGGCTGGCGGCGCGAGGCTTGGTTTTTGGCGACGGTGATGGGCCAACGAACGCGTGCCGACGGACCGCGGTTGGGTGGCCGGTGTTGCCGGCTTGTACAGGGGAGGGGGGGGGGGGGGGGGGAGGGGAGGGGGTAGGGGGGTAGGGTGGGTGGTGGAGAATTGGGTGGAGGGGGCAAGGGAGGAAAGGAGGAAAGGAAGGGGGGGGCGGGGGGGGAGAGAGAGACGGCGGCAAGGAACGCGAAGGGGCAAGTCAAAAACGCCGAACGCTTGTTTGCCAATGTCTTTTTGACGACTCGGACGATTATGGTGTTCCATGTTTTTTGACGCCAGCCGAAGCGACGAGAACGACTCACAGACGACATGTGGGGGGGGGGGGGACAGGCGAGGGGGCCGACTGCACGAGCTACACATCGTGCTCGGCTTGTATTTCTAGTGCCGACCAGTGCGGATGGTGCTTTACGCCCGGATCGGCCGGATGCCAGGCGGCGTCGACGTCGACGTGTGCGGCGCCGGACTTTCTCAACCCTATGTCCGAGGTGCAGTCGCAGTCGACGACGTCGAGTGTGATGACGCCGACGGACGTCAAGGTCTTCCTTCGACTCAACGACCCGCTTTCGTTTGTGGTGACGGTGACACCCGGGCCGATTCCGCTCGACCTTGTGCTTGTGGAGGATCTGTCGGGCTCGATGTCTGATGACGTGAACACACTGCGTGCGCTTGCGCGTGACATGGTGACGCGTGTGCGGACTGAGATTCAGGCCGACACCAACTTTGGCATTGCCGGCTTCATTGACAAGCCGGCCGAGCCGATTGCGTGGAACCGCGACTGCAACACCGAGTCGCCGCTGGCCAACCAGGACTGCTGGAACTACGAGTACATGGGCTGGCTGGCAGCGGCTTCGGACGAGAACCTGTTCTTTGACGCGCTGGAGAACTCGCTGGAGAACCATGGCAACAAGGATTGGCCCGAGTCGATGTCCGAGGGCGCGTTCCATGCTGCGGTGTGCACGGCCCGGTCCGGATGGCGGTCAAACTCGCGCCACATCATGCTCATCTCGACGGATGCCGACTTTCACATTGCCGGCGACTCGGAGCTTATCGGCGTGTACAACCCGCACTCGCGTCTATGTGAGGATGCCGTTGGTGGCGATGGATACGGCCCGGGCATGGCTGAGGACTACCCGAGCGCGTCGCTCATCCGTGATGCGCTGCTGCGCCAGAACGTGGTCCCGATTTTCGCGGTGACTGCTGGTGACGGTGGCAACTCGCGGTTCGACAACATTCAGCTGTACCAGGACATTGTGAACGAGTGGGGCTTTGGCTTTGTCTACACCCTCGAGTCCGACTCGTCGAACATCATTGACGCCATTGTGACGGCGTACACGGTGACAGCCGAGACGGTGACCCTCATCGAGGCTGCTGACACCCGCGACTGGGTCAAGTCGATCACCCCGACCGGCGGCTACCAGAACGCGCTCCTCGGCGTGGCGTACCCACTGACGGTCAACATGCTCGCCTCGCACGGTGACGAGAACGTGGTGGAGCAGATTCTGCTCACCTCGTTCGGCTTTGGCTCGGTCAACATCAACGCCACGACGGTGTACGATTGCGATTGCTCGGCCGCGTTGTGCCTGGAGACTGGCGGGCAGCAGTGCAACGGACAGGGAACGTGCGAGTGCGGCGTGTGCACCTGTGCGTCGACCAACTTCACTGGGCCTGGCTGCGAGTGTGACGTCAACGCGCCGTGCGACCCGCCGTGCGTCAACGGCGAGTGCGTGTGCGGCCAGTGCGTGTGCTCGGACGGCTGGAAGGGCGACACGTGCGAGTGTGACTCCAAGCCGTGCCAGGGTGGCGGTAACTGCAACGGGCATGGTGTGTGCGAGTGCGGTGTGTGCAACTGCACGACCGGGTGGACCCAGAGCGACTGCTCATGCACCCTCTCGCCGTGCCCAGGCACGCCTGCCTGCTCGGGTAACGGCCTCTGCACGCCGTGCGGAACGTGCGAGTGCCAGGCCGGCTGGACCCACCCGCCGCCGCCTGCCCCGCAGGACTGCTCGTGCTCGACCATCCCGTGCTTCTGCTCGGGCCATGGCAACTGCGAGTGCGGGTCGTGTGTCTGTGAGGCGAACTGGATTGGCTCGGACTGCTCGTGCAACAACGTGTCATGCCCGATTGATCCGGTCACCGGCACCGAGTGCGGTGGTGGACAGGAGTGTGTGTGCGGCGAGTGCGTGTGCGCCGAGGGCTTTACCGGCCCGTTCTGCAACTGCTCGACGAACCTGTGCCCGACGACCGGCAACGGCGCGTGCAACGGGCATGGCTCTTGCGAGTGCGGCGAGTGCACGTGCGAGTCCGGCTTTGGTGGCATTGCCTGCCAGTGCGATGCCTCGCTCCCGTGCCCAGGCTCGCCGCAGTGCTCGGGCCATGGCGTGTGCGACCGGACGGACCAGTGCGGATGCGTGTGCGACAACGGATGGACGACAGCGCCCGACGGGACCGAGGACTGCTCGTGCTCGACGACGCCGTGTGCGACCTCGTGCCAGCCGCCGTTTGGTAACTGCGAGTGCAACAAGTGCACGTGCAACACGACGTACATTGACTCGCTGCCGTGCACGGTCGACTGCGGCGCCGGCGAGTGCGTCAAGGTGGTGGACAAGGACTGCGGCATGACGATGCAGTGCTCGTGCCCGAACGACCCGGCGAACCCAGTGCCGGTCACGCCCGGTGAGTGCCCGTGCATGCAGGACGCCGAGGGCAAGGACCTTTGCGGTGCCGCCAACTGCTTCGAGGCCAACTCGGTCAACTGCACTGCCCGGTGCGGCGTGTGCGAGTGCAAGCCCGGTGTGATCGGCGATTCGTGCTTGTGCGACCCAGGAACGGAGGCACCGGCCTGCGACTCGCCGTGCCTCAACGGTGGGTCGTGTGTGCCGTCGGCCGGCAAGCGCGACCCGGTGACCGGCGCGCTCATTGCCGGCTGCGTGTGGTCGTGCCAGTGCGTGCCGCCGTTCTCGGGCCCTTCGTGCGCCGACTGTGACGTGACCAACCTCGACTGCCCGCTCGCTTGCCGTGCCCAGACGTGTGGCGACTGCTTCCTCGACAGCGGCTCGACCGACCCGCGTCTCCAGGAGTGTGGGTGGTGCGTGAGCGACTCGGGCAACTCGTCGTGCATCAAGCGCGCCGAGTGCTCGGCGAGCAACGGCGTCGTCGTCGACGCCTGTCCGGTCGCCCCGACTCCGGCGCCGACCCTCCTCGAGAACAAGTCGGTCTTCTACGGTGGCATTGCCGCCGCAGCTGTCCTCATCCTCGCCATCCTCGCCATGATCATCTACAAGATCTTCATCTGGAAGCGCGACAAGCAGCTGTGGGCCAAGTTCAACGCTCAGCAGGATTGGGGTCTCGACGCCAACCCGCTCTACAAGGATGCGTTCGACCAGCACGAGAACCCGATCTACGCTGAGAACGCCGATGTCGACGACCGCGGCGCAGCGTTCTTCTGATTTTGCCGCTCGTCTCCTCTCCGACTCCTCGACTCGCCTGGCCCTGTCTCTGCTGCGCGCCCACGCCCCTCCCACCTCCCCACTCTTCTCCCCCCTCTCGCCTCGCTCGCACTTGCCATATTTTGACAACACGTGCGCTTGCAAAGCAGACGGCTGTCGGGTCCTGGAAATGAACGCAACATCTTCTTTCGTCACCTACGACGCCGGCTGCGGGTCCGGCACCGACTGCGTCTGCTGGCGCCGCCGGACGGCTGAGGCTGTCGACGAGGCAACCGATCCATAGGCGGTGTCGGCAGCGGCGCAGGCCAAGGAAAAGGCGGCGGCGGCGGCTTGGACTGCCGAGTACTGCATGGCAGCAGCAGAGACCGAGGTGATGGCAGAGTCGAGCGAGGCCGCCGCCCGGTTGACCGCCGGAGTGAGGCCGAGCGCAGTGTCGACGCGGCCAATGCCGGCGTCAACAGCCAACGCCACCTTGTTGCCCGACACGCTGACAGCGGCGAGCGAGGTCGAGAGCGCCGAGCCAAGCCGGACGTGGTCAGCGTCAAAGGCGCGGGCGCGGGCAACGGCGCCCGATCCGACAACATACCCCGCTGCAATCATCTCGGCGAGGATGCACGACTTGGTCTTGGCAGGAGCGGATGTCGCACTCGCCGGCTCGGATGTGGAGGCCATCGAGGCACTGGCGCTGGCGCCGGCCTCGGCCTCAGCCTCGGCTTCGGCCTCATCCTTGTCCTTGGCGCCGCTGACAAGCACCACGCCTGGCGACGTCGGGGTGAGAGCAGTTACCGAGATGGCCGAGTCGACGATGGAAGCATTGGAGAGGAGCAGGGCGGTGGTGAAGCCCGAGTTGGCTTCAAAGACGACTGCCGCCGAGGCCGTGGCCGGTGGGTCTGTGGCCGGGCTCATGGCAAACGCCTCGATGGTGCCACAGTAGGTGAAGAACGTCTTGATGTTGGCCTCGGTGGCCTTTGCCGAGATGTTGGTCACCAGCGCTGTGCGGGCGAGCGCAGATTCTTCGAGCTGCACCATGTCGGTGTCCGCGATGATCATGCCCAAGCCCATGTCGGTGTCCGCGATGACCATGCCCGTGTCCGTGTCCGCGATGACCATGCCCGTGTCCGTGTCCGCGATGACCATGCCCGTGTCCGTGTCCGCGATGACCATGCCCGTGTCCGTGTCCGCGATGACCATGCCCGTGTCCGTGTCCGCGATGACCATGCCCGTGTCCGTGCCCATGATTCCCATGCCCATGCCCATGCCCATGCCCATGCCCATGCCCATGCCCATGCCCATGCCCATGCCCATGCCCATACCCGCCCCCTTCCATGAGTGTTACGCAACAGAAGCCCCTTCACCTCGCCCTAGCCCATACCCATACCCATACCCCCCCTCCCCACCCCCCCCCATCCACCCATCCACACATACCGTAATTCCTCCCCACGTGTACATCGACATAGTGGTCGAGTGCAGTGTGTGTGTGTGTGTGTGTGTATGTGCTTATGCTTGTGTGTGCTGGTGCTCTTCCCCCTGGCCACACCTCGGAGCAGAGTGGCATGCGCCAATTTGGGGGACGGGCGATGATAGCCTGATCCGCGTCGGCGGGACTGCACGGATGGCGGTGGGAAACAATCGGAGAGGTGGATATGTGGAGGAGTTGATCAGAGAAATACAGATGGGAGGTAGTGCGCGGGTTAGCACATCGACAGCGCCCACCACAAAAGTCCGCCAAGGAACGCCATGCCGACAAGGCATGCATTGGTGGCCACTGCAACGTCAAAGGCGTACTTGCGCACCCGCTTCAGATCGGCCCACTCGAGAATGACAACGTCGGCCTTGGGAATGGTCAGCTCAAAGTCGGGCGCGCCGTCCTTGCCGGTAAACTTGGACATCGAGTTGGAAATCGCCTTCATGCAGCCTTTGCGCGCAAGCGCAGACTTGACCACCGCAACCTGCTTGTGTCCTGGGTTGTACCACGCCGCCTCGCGCGGGTATGGCGCCACAGGGTACGAGCGGCAGCCCGATGACGCCTTGCGGCACGAGCAAGCAAAAGCCACCACGTCGGTAGCGCCAGGTACCGTAACCGGTACTGCTACATGACTCGCCTTGCTCTTAGTCGACTTGCTCTTGCTCGACTTGGCGAAGCCGGCCCGGTCGATGTGAAGCTCAAACCGCGAGAGATCTGCAAACGGCTTGGACCGCAGCGCGGCAATCTGCACCGAGCTCGTCGCCGCCGGCAGCGGCCCGCGGTAGTACGAATCAGATGCATCGAGTGAACCGAGGAGCGAAAAGTAGATGCTGCCCACAATCGTCGCCACGCCCACAAAGGCAAACAGGTAGCCAAGGAGCGGGAAGAAGCACTCGCCAACGCTGATCCCGCCAGGGTTGCGACGGAATGCAACTACAATGACCAGCGCTGTGATCGAGAACAGGATCGGAAGACCAGCCAGCGGAAGCACGAGGCCAAGCACAAGGCCAATGTCTGTATCAGCCATGTAGTACGACGCGCCCTGCGTCAGCAGGGCTCCTCCCACAAACACCGCCGTGCCCAGGAGGCCCAGCACATTGCCGCTCGACCTCGTCTGCAGGCACCTGCACCCCATGCCGCAACCGCCCTCCTCCTCCTCGCTCGCATCGAGCGCATACGGTACAGCCATGTCGGCAACCTCAACGCTCGGCTCAGCTGCGGAAGAGGCGTCCGCAATGTGTACCACAGGCTGTGGCACCACCCATCCAGTGTCCGATCGCGGTGCCACAAGCTGCAGTGACGCCAGCTTGCTGATCCTCCCAACCCCATTCCGATCTCGCCTCTGGCCTCTTCTTGACGTCGACGAAGCAGCACCCGGGCTCACCGAGGCACTTGCTGGACTCTGTGCATGTCGAGCCGGAGTGAGCGTGTGCGCGCCCAGTGGACGTGGCGACGGCGTCGGCAGATCAGGCAGCCGAATTGATTGGCCGGCGGCAACGAGCGGCGGTGGTGGGGCCACAGGCGTGGCGAGCGTGTGCATTGCCACAGAATGGTCTGGACCATCTCCTGGTGTCGTTGCAGTCACCGCCACGTCATATGAAGGAAGCTCGTCGCCCATATACTCGCCTTCCCAGCACCAGAGATGGTGCTCAAACGCCAGCAGAGTCAAGTGGCGTGTCAGGCACCCGCATCCGGCGCCGTCGCCTCTCTGCTTCCGACCACCGATGCCATTCAGGGAATACTATCAGAGCATGTCGTGGCGAATCAGATGGCATTGGAAGCTTGTTCTGGGTATGGGCAGGAGGAGGAGGGGGGGGGGGGGGGGGGGTCGAGTTGTAGCCGTTGCCTGTCGGCCCGCCGTGGTTGCGGGGTGAGTGCTCCTGTGCGCGTACATGCCACGGCACCATCGTCACCCATCATCACTGCGAAGCCTTGTACGTCGTGTATACGATTGATACTGTTGATCACCCATGTTTGTGCATCTTGCGTTGGCTCTGGCTTGTCTTGATCATACGTGGTGTCCGGTGCAAAGGTGAAGGGAGGGGTGGCCGATCAGAGCCCATGCCTGAGCCCAGGTCATGCCCAACCCAGCCCCACCGCTTTTATGCCCATGACCTGCACCCCCCCCCCCCCCCCAACCCCATCTTCTCTCTCCCCCATATCTGATCTGCCGTGTATGTACGGCATCCATCGCCATCGCCACTCTCCGCCGCCGGCACCCTCCGCCCGCGCACCAATGGCCCCCGGTGCCACGAGGTCACAAGCCGATCGGCGGCATGCGCGGGCTCCGACAAAGCCCCTACCCCCGCCACTTACGCACAGTCCCCACTCGCCCACCGCCACACACACCTCACTTATCTACTTGACGCGTCAGCTGCTCCGCGCGAGGTTGCATGCGTGCTGCACATGCCCTGAGAGTATGGCTCTCGTCGACTCGAGTCGGTCGTCGGGCGGCGGCCGGCAGAGTGGCCGCTGGGCTAGTGGAGACGGCAGCCGTGGCGGAGACGGCGCCAAGTGCTGGGAAGGGGGTGAACGACCGGGCGACGGCGGCCGAATCGGACATGGCTCAAATGATGATGGCGGCCGAATCGGACATGGCTCAAATGATGATGGCGGCCGAATCGGACATGGCTCAGATGATGACGGCGGCCGAATCGGACGTGGCTCAGATAACGACCGCGGCCGCGGGCGATGTTGTCCCGGTGGCGTCGGCGACTGGTCGGTGGTACAGCAGGACAACTGCGATGCCTTTCCATGCGCGAACATCACCTCACCGTGGCACGGTCCTCTGCCGCTTCACCTCTTCGACTGCCGCCCGGCCCCTGTCCACGCCTGAACTGGCTCTGCGATTAGCGGCTGCTCGCCCGCACGACTTTACTCTGCAGTACCCGATCCGGCGCGAGTACTTTCTCGACACGTTTGTCCAGCAAGCACCGGCCCGCATCCGTAAGAGGCGGCACAATGGTGCGCGCTTGGTGGCGGCAGGCGCCGAGGCGCTCGAGAGCAGCATCGCAGAGACTGTGGCCGACTTGGCTGAGTCCCGGCCGCCGCTGCTGGTCTACGTCCACGTCCCATTCTGTGCATCAAAGTGCACGTACTGCAACTTTGCTGTCGACACGCGCCAAACGAGCACACTCCACGCAGCATACGTGCACGCGCTTGGACGTCAGATGGCTGCCCTCGAGGCCATGCTTCCTCCAGACAAGATCCTTGGCGGCATTGACATCGGCGGCGGGACGCCGACGCTGCTCTCAACGTCACTTCTGCGTGAGCTCCTCGATCAGCTCGCGCCACTGCGGGCCCGAGTTGCACCGTCGTTGGAGCACCCTCTCTCAATCGAGACAACGCCGGCCATTGCGTCGGCCGAGCCTGACAAGATGGCAGCACTTGTGGCCGGCAGCGTCGACCGCATCTCTATGGGCCTACAGTCGTCGTCGGCGGCTGTTCTTCGCGATCTCAACCGCGAGGCCCAGGTCGATGCGCCAGCCCGTGCTGCAGACGCCATCCATGCTGCTGGCTTTAAGCGGTTCTCGGTCGACATCATTTTTGGTCTTCCGGACCAGACCATGGAGATGTGGATGGCCGACGTGGCCGCCGCCATCGCCCTCGCACCCGACGCCATCACCACCTACGACTGCCTCTATCGTGGCAAGGGCCGGGTCATGACTCGCCACACCGCCGCCGCCGCGCTGCCGTCGTGGCGCCGCCACTACGGGCCCATGTACGATGCCGCCTACGATGCACTTGCCGCTGCTGGCTACGTCGCTCCATACGGTTCGGTCAACTACTCGCGCCAACCTGGCGAGACCGGCACCTCGGCGTACTTTGAGGCTCGCCTCCGCGATGGCGCCCCCTACATCGGCCTCGGCAATTACGCCTCGTCGCTTCTCGGCGGCCCGCTTGACACATGGGCCTTTGCCCCCTACACCGTCGACGGCTACCTCGCCGCCATTGACGCGGACAACCTCTTCCCCGCCGACTTTGCCTACGCTCTCCCCACTTCCGAGCTTGCGGCCAAGACCGCGCTCCTCCAGCTCACTTTCGGCAGCGTCGACCTCACGCGGCTGGCTCGCTCGCTCGGCTGCGACGTCGACGCCGTCGCCGCCGAGCTCGGTCCGGGCATCGCTGCCGCGTGCGAGTCTGGCTGGCTCGCGCCGGCTGCTCCCGGCTCGAATGTCTTCTCCGTCCAGCACGGCGCGTTCGCCGCCATGCCCTCGGTCCGCGCTCTCTTCCACACCCGCGGTTCGCTGCAGTGGTACCAGGCGCAGCTCCGCGCAACGACGGCGCGATGAAGCTGGAGGCGGATTTACGCGCTGGCGCCGTCGGCAAAGTTGGCGGCAAACGAGGCTGCGCGGGCATAGGACCCGCCCGCGACATGCGGTGTGGTGGCGGTCGACGAGCTTGCCGATGCGGCCGGCGACGAAGACGAAGACGACGGCGCGACGGCCACCCGCGAGATGTGAACCTGCTCGTAGAAGAGGACGTAGACGCCCTCGGGCGAGATGTTGGCCTGCGGCGCAAACGAGACCTTGTCGTCGTCAAACGTGGCCCACACGTCGTTGTTCATCCGGACGTGGGTGATGTAGTGGCCCTTGTGTGCCGTCCGGCCAAGGTGCTCCACGGCGGCAGTAAGCCTGTACTCGCGCGAGATGAGTGACGACTTGAGGCTCTCGGAGCAGAGGTTCTTGGGAATGGTGAGCTCGTGCTCAAACTTGATCGGCCGCACAATCTTGATCGGCCCGCCGGCCTTGTTGTAGGTAAACCGCTTGAGCGAGAAAATGAGAATGGGCGGGAGAGTGTGGAACGAGGTATCATTCGTGACCCGCGTCTCACGGCCAGTCCGCTTGTCGACGTAACCCTCGATGAGCTCCGAGCCGGCAAACGAGGCGAGGCAGTCGCGGACAGAGTCGTGGTCGGCGACGTAGAGCTGGACCGTCCAAAATGGTTGGAGCGTGACGAGCGACGCTTGGCCGCCACCGGACCGGGTAGACTTGGTTGTTCCGGCAAAGAGCTGCGAGATGAGGGTGATGTCGCGGCTGGCGGTCCGGGAGACCTCGGCCGCCCGGCCGCCCTTGCTCACCTCGGACCATCCGTCGCCGTCGTCCGACGTATCCGCCAGCCCACCAGCAAGGAGGAACTCCTCGTGGAGCGAGTGCAGGACAAAGGTGAGCCACTCCTGTGCGTCATGCTGGTGCGTCACGGTCGAGCCGGCCATGTCTCCGGCATACTTGGCAACAAACAGGCTCACCGCGTCACGAACGTATTCCGGGTTGAACGCCTCGGCGACCTCAAACTGGACTGCGGTCGAGCTTGCCGCTTCGCCGACTCGGGCGGTCGCGCCTGCTGCACCCTCGGCGCCTGCCGAGCTGCCGTCGCTGGCGGGTGCCGAGCCAGGCACGCCACCACGCCCGCGGCGCCTGCCCCTGGACTTGGCCTTGCGCTGCCGCGCCGTTGAGACCGCCACCGTTGTTGACGACTCCTTGCACAACATGTCAGCGTCGAGCGAGAGGAGCATGTAGATGATGGGCGTCGATTCCCATTCAACGATGTCGTACGCCGGGTAGAGCTGGTGGACGAGGTCGTAGAACATCGGCATGCCCATCAGCGCCTGCAGCATCGAGTGCGCGTAGCAAAAGTTGTCGGTGTTGATCATTCCGCTCCAGACCTTGCGGGTGACGGACAGGTACTGAGTGTGCAGTTTGGCGGAGTGGATGAGCTCGCGGAGCCTCGGAATGAGCGCCCGCACCTCGACGCCCGGCACCAGCGACGACGCCGCCTGCACCCGCGCCCCGGCAGTCGCTGCGTTCTTGTGAGCTGCCGCCGACGACGCTGCTGTCACCGACGCCGCTGTCGCCGCCGGCTTGATGCCGCCTGCCGCCACCTGCGACCACGCCTTGGGTGCACCCTTGCTCCACGCCGAGTTGGCGAGACCCGAGCGAACGGTACTCGGGCCCGGGCGCGCCTTGCCGCTCGCGTCTGCCTTGGCAGAATTGCTTTGCGCGCCGTCAGGCTCTGCCTCACCGGCCTCGGCGGCGGTGGCCTGCGCTGCGGCCTGTGCTGCTGCCGCCACTGCTGCCTGTGCGTTTTCGGCATCTCTGGCTGCCTGCGCTTGTGCTTGCGCCTGTGCTTGTGCATGCGCCTGCGCCTGTGCCTGTTGCGCTTGTGCCTGCGCCTGCGCCTGAGCGTGCGCCTGCGCCTGCGCCTGCGCCATCTGGAACTGATGCTGTTGCATGCGGCGATGGTGGATGTTGGGGTTCATGCCATACGCAGGCATGCCCGAGTACATGGGGCCGGGCATTCCCATGCCTGGCACCATGCCGGCGGCGCCATGCATGCCCAGCACGCCGGGCATTCCCATGGCGGCGGCCAGTGGCTGCATCGACGCAGCGGCCATGCCCGGCATGCTCGGAATGGCCCAGAGCTCTCCACCTCCAGCATTGGGTGATCCGAGCGGACTTGCCATCGAGCCGTGATGGGCAACAGCAGGCGGCGAGCCGGCCATGCCATGGCCTGCCTGAGCAGCGGCGGGCGGCATGCCAGTGGCAGCAAAGTTGATCATGCCCCCAGCAGCGGGCGAATTTGCCATTGCCATCCCACCGACAGCGGTGCCACCGTTGTGCGCAGGTGCCTGCCGGCCGCCTCCACCACTTGCACCAGCCATAGGCGGTGTGCCGTCGCGCGGATAGCAGGCCACCGCAGGGCCGACCTTGCCCACCGACGACGAGTCCGGCTCCTGTGCACAGGTAAAGGACGCCAAGAATACCGTCGACATACTTGCTCACCTCTTTGTGTTTCGTGTCAGTGAGTGAATGGGCACGTGGTGCGTCAAGTGTGGTGAGGAGGGGAAGGGGGGAGGGGGGGAGGAGGGGAAGGGGGGAGGAGGGGGAGGGGGGAGGAGGGGGATCCTCTTCTTCCACCCACCCAACCATTAATCCCCCATCCATTAATCATACCCCAGACCACCCACCCACCCATCAATTAATCCCCCATCCATTAATCATACCCCAGACCACCCACCCACCCATCAATTAATCCCCCATCCATTAATCATACCCCAGACCACCCACCCACCCATCAATTAATCATAGCCGCCCTCCGTGTCCGTTTGCGAAGCCACCCCTCTCCCCCCCCCCCCCCGCCCTCCCCCCTTCCCCCCCTCCCCTCCCCCCACCCGGATACCCCCCCCCCCCCTCCACATACCTCTCGATGAGCAACCAGTCGCAGCCGTGGCGGCAGCGTGCGCAGGGGATCCTCCCGGGCGGAGGACAGAACGAGAGCGGGTACGAGAGCGAGCTGCGTGCCTACGAGGCTGGGAAGGCCAACTCGATGAGCCACGAGATTGGTCGCCATCGCCGGGCCGTTGCTGCCATCCGCCCTGCAGGCACTGCTCCCCGTGCCGACAGCAACTTTGATACTCGCCTCTCCAACCCATCGGCTGCCCGTTCTTCCCGCCGCTCGCGCCCGGACCACCCCGCCAATCGCTCGTCTATCAACGAGCACATCATGCCCGAGTCGGTGCCCGAGTCCGATGCCACCCGCGCACGCGCCACCGCAACCTCACTCTCTTCAGATCCCACGCGCCTCAATACTGTCTCGGCTTCATCTGGCTCGACTCCCGGCCGCTCGCCGTACACGCCTTCAGGCGCTGTCACGGATCGCTCACACTACTCGGGCGGCGGCGGTGCGGCTCAGCGGACGTCCGACGACTCGCCCTTTGGCCGCCCGTCTATGCGCGGTCGCCTGACCCAGGAGTACGAGGCCCGCCGCCGGGCCATTGCTGACCGCCGTGTCCGCGCCTCGAACCCGTCGTCCATCGGCCTCACCGCAAACTCGTCGCGTGCCTCGTTCAACATCATCTCCAACGTCCCGGCCGGCGCCCACGAGCTTCCGCGTGACGAGCCGCACGCGTCCGAGCGTGCTACGTCGAACCACTCGCGCTACAGCTACGACATCCTCAGCGGGCGCGACCGGTCGACCGACCCGAACGCGCCGCTCGATCCGCGCGTCCGCCGCGCCGAGCTCGAGCACGGCCGCGAGAACAAGGTCACGCCCAACTCGCGCCGCCGCATCGCCGAGCCGCGCGCCGAGCGAACGTCAGGCAACATCCTCGCCTATGACGGTGGCTCACCCGACGAGCGCGCAACCGCCGCCCGCGAGCACGCCCGTCTCGCCGCCCGCCAGCGGGTCGTCGGCTCGCACCACCACCGCTCGTCCTCGGACGGCTACGCCTACAACATCATCGCCCAGTCGTCCGACCTCGACCACGTCGACCGCAAGACCTACGTTTATGGTGACGGCGGCGGCCGCCTCCACGCCAAGAGCCAGATGCACAGTGGCTCGTCCACCGCTCGCGCTCGTGTCGACCACCTCGACGAGCTCTACCACAACCGTGAGCCGCTGTACCCGGACCGCCCGCGCGGCAAGCGCCGCGTCGGCACTGGCCACGGGAACGGCGAGCAGGTCAAGAATGCCCTCACCACAGACTCGCGGCGAACAGACGCCCCGCCCGACGACCCGCTCATCGCCGCAGACACCGGCCGCACCATGCACCATAAGCCAGCTCACACGCTCCGCCACAACCGCGACGTCGACCACATGTGGTACACCCGCCCGGACCCGTCGCCGCCGGCTCGCCGCCACAAGATCATGCCCGACAACGCACCCAACGTCGACTCGGTCTCCAAGGACCTGCCCTGGCTCACAGGCGCCGAGCGCCGCGCATACGACGCCCAGCGCCGCCGCGACGAGTCCGCCGCAGGCTCGCCGCGCCGCCGCGGACGCAAGCTCGTTGCAGAGCCCGACCACATGTACGCCGTCCTCCACGGCGAGCGCAACCCGCGCCGCCATGACCCTGCAACTGGCAGCTACGAGCCACACCCGCCGCCCCGCGCAGGCTACGACGACGCCTCGTCACCGCGACGCCCTGCCCGCCGCCCCGCAGACACCCTCGACTCGATCGGCTCCGTCCTCGCCGCCCCGCCACCCGGTCCGCCCTCCTCCTACGAGGAGCGCTTCCGCCAGACCCGCGAGCAGGAGGAGTCCGCCGCTCGCACCCGACGCGACCGCTCCAAGGCGTCGGGCGCGCCCCCCTGGGCTGCTCCCGGCGGCAAAAACTCGCCGCGCCGTCGCTGGTAGCGCCATCGCCATCGCCGGTAACACAACAAGCCACATCTTGTCACTCGTCACGCCGACGATGCCGACGACGACGACGAGAACGGGTCGTCCTCGTCGTCGGCCGACGAGATTGACGCAGAGTACACCCCGCCATCACCGCCGCCGCCGTCGTCCACCCGCCCGAGCGACGGCGAATGGAGCCGCGGATCGGTGAGCGGCTCGCCAACAGGCGCCGCGTCGGCATCGCGGCCATCAGGCGCGTATTCGAGATACAGCACCACCGAGCTGTGCCGTCCGCGCCGAGCCAGATCTCGCGGCGACCGCCCATGGCGGTCGGTGGCGGCAACGTCGGCGCCGGCATCCGCCAGCAGCCGGACCACCTCCAGCTCGCCGTACTTTGCCGCACCGTGGAGTGGGGTAAAGCCGGCCGAGGTGAGCGCATGCAGCCGTGCGCCGTGGCGGATGAGCCACTTGACGCACTTTGTCGATCCGTTCACCGCAGCCAGATACAGCGGTCCGTAGCCCTCATCGTCTTGATGTTCCATAAGCTCTGGCGAGGCTCTCAATATCTTTTTCATGCGAACTACAAAATCTTTTTGGCATGCCCGGTGCAATCGCTTCATCACTTTCTCCTCCACTCCCTCCACATGCCACAGCCGAGGCTCCGGCCGCTTCAGCTGGTACGCCAAGTCCGTCTGGTCCGTCCACGACGGACCTCCTCCTCCTCCTCCTCCTCTTCCGCCTGCAAACGCCCCTGCCCCCAACGTGTACCCCGCGGGCGGAGTTGGCGGTGACCGCATGGCCTGGTCTGGGTACAAGCTCATGTGCAAGTGCGACAAGTGCGTGCCCGGCTTCCCCACCCCCCCCCCCCTGTTGCTGCCTTTGATCACGATCGCGATCGTGATCGCGATCGTCGCCCATGGCACCGGGCACTCAACCGTACCGCAACGCATCACCAGCTGCCACCGGTTGACATCGCATATGGTTGTGGCATTACTACAAACCGTCAGAAGGTAGTCGGGAGGAAGACAAGATGTGGTAGCAACCGTTTTTTACTTTGATCTCTTTGTCGGCAAGTCATCGCGGCGGATGGAAGGTACGCGTACGCCGCCACATGTGTGATCATTATCAGTTCTCGCTGGGCGTACTCTAGCATGTGGATCACACTCTAACGATAGAATGTACATGTGGCCAAGAGATGGATAAACGTAAACAGGATGTTGCACTTGTTATGTCCATGTAACTGATGCTCGAAAAGAGTATTTCTGTAGCGCGTACGAGCCCTTTATCCCGCACACACCAGATCATCCCTGTCTGCCAGGTGTCAGTACCCCTTTTTTTGCTCACTCTTTTGCACCTCCCCCTTCAGGGGACGGGGCTGGTGTTGGTGATGGATGGGGGAGGGGCTGGTGATGGTGTTCGATGGGGAGGGGTTGGTGATGGTGAGGGATGGGGGAGGGGCTGGTGATGGTGTTCGATGGGGAGGCTGTGGCTTGAGCCACCAAAACAGCATTTCGCGACCTTTTCCTGGTGTTTGGCGCAACGCGGAGGAAGGCGCGACCTTCTTGTGCAACTCCATGCGTGTACGGTACAACAGTGCCTGGCAAGGCATGGTGCTATCCACATGGAACTGTCCCCCCGCCTCGTGCCCATCCCTCTCCGATGTGCTCCTTCGGTGCCGCAGTCTGCCTCTCCTTCCGAGCGCGCGTGCGTCGGAAAACGATCACACAGGTTGATCAAGCCCACCATGCCCTACTCACGGTCACACGCACCAGACGAGCTCTCGGACATAGGGATCGCACCACTCCCTTCAGAGCTCGTGCTGCTGCCCTCCAAGGTCGTCCGCTTCCGCGAGCTGCTGGTGTCGTTGGTGGCCATCGTCACGGGCGTGATGCCCGCGCTAGCAAGTTGGATCCTCAGCTCGCGAATGGTACGCTCCCGCTCGCGAATGGTGTCCGCAGCCTCCGTCGCCTGCTTTGCAATGGTGCTCGCCTGCTTTGCAATGGTGCTCGCCTGCTTCGCAATGGTGCTCGCCTGCTTCGCAATGGTGCCCTCCAAGGCATCGATCCGCTTCGTCAGCACCTTCAACAACACCTGGTTCGTCTCCGATTCGGATGCTGCCATGGCTCCTATCGAGTCAAGTATATCGCCACTTCCACCACCGCCGGCTCTCCGCCACTCTGCCCGTGCCACTCGCCGCAGCATGCGCTCCCCTACGCCGCGACGCGTCCGCCATCGCCGCCGCCGCCGCTCCGAGCCACCCCGCCGGCATCTGCGTCCGCGTCGTTCGCCAGCCTTTCCCTCCTCGCCCTTCTCCTCGCCTTTCCCATCCAGCTCTGTCCGCTCTGCCTCTTCTCCCACGCCATCGGCCACCAACCCGAGCACCACCACCGCATCGTCGTCTTGCTTGCCGTCCCTGTCGGTCCGCATCTCGCTGCCACGGTCACCGTTGTCGCCCGCCACCGCCTCTGACCTGCACCCCTTCCCCGGCCCTTCCACCGAGGTCATAACCGCCCCAGCCAATGGAGTATGTATTGCAGGGCGGATGAGGTGTGTGCGTATATATATATATATATATATGTGTGTGTGTGTGTGTGTGTGTGTGTGTGGATGTGGATGTGGGCGACGCGTGGTCGGCCCAGAACGAACAGCCGCATGCTGACCAACAACCGGTGCAGGTGCAGCCAGCTGGTGATTGATCGAATGAAACGGGTTGGGCGACGGGCTGACCAGGTGGTGATCGATGGGCTTGAGCTGGTGGTGGTGACCGATGGGGAGGGCGCTATTTTTCTTTGTAGGTCCATGCGTGTACGTTACAACAGTGCCTGGCAAGGCACGGTGCTATCTACATGGCGCTGACCCCCATATCCTGAGCTGATCTGGCAGAGGGTATTCAACCAGCTGATCTGGGCAGAGGGTATTCGGCCAGCTGATCTGGCAGAGGGCATTCGGCCACTTGATCTGGGCAGAGGGTATTCGACCATATCTGGCAGAGGGTATTCAACCAGCTGATCTGGCAGAGGGTATTCAACCAGCTGATCTGGCAGAGGGTATTCAACCAGCTGATCTGGCAGAGGGTATTCAACCAGCTGGACTGGCAGAGGGTATTCGGCCAGCTGACCTGGCAGAGGGCATCCGGCCACCGCTCTCGATCAAAAAGGGAGGTGGCGGCGTGAAAGGGGAAGGGCCCACCAGCGAGAGCGTAGCAAGCAAAGGGACAAGGCGGACGAGTAGCCATACACCTACAACAGCCTACATACGGGAGGCCACAATACCCTTCCCGGACGGGAAGCACCAACATGGACACGTCCGAGTCGTACATTGTCCTTCCCAACACCCACCCCGGACCACCTGCGCACGGCTCGCCCGCCACCGCCACCGCCACCGCCACACCCATACCCATACCCACAGCTACAGCTGCAGCTACACCGACCTCATCCAACCCTTTGTCAAGTGGTCATGATGAAGACCTTCGGCTTCCACACAGTCAACAGTCTCTTCCTGCTGACGGACCCTCGTTCTCCTCTACCCTCTCTATGACGCTGCCTGAGCTCGGCTCGGCTCGCCCTCACCATGGTCATGGTTATGGGCATGGTGGTGCTATGGAGAGTGCTCCTGCTGGACAGCATGCGCATCATCCACACGGTTTGAATTCGCAGCCGCTGGCCTTTGTCTCAGCTTCCTCGTCGCCGTACCAGGCCACAGTCTTCTCTCCGGCGTACCACACACTGCACGACGACGAGGACTCGGCTGGTCCTCCGCATTCTGCCTATGCATTGGCGTCTCCCGCAGTGGATGCGGCTTCCATGAACCATGCCGATGCTGATACCGGTCCGCAGGCCGCGCTTCCGCCGCGCGCAGTCCGTGCCCCGTTCCTCCGCCAGCGCGGCAACTCGGCGCCGATGATGCCGGCGTCGCGAGGTCCAGGCTTTCCCGAGCCGACCCACCATGTACCCCATGCTGCTGCGCCGACGCTTCCGCTCCAGCTCCGTGCGCAGCTCCACGAGCCGCATCATCTCCGCGAGGCGCGCGACTCGGCGCGCGAGGGCTCGTCCGCGCCGTACCTCGATCTAGAGCAGATGATGGCGGCAAACGCGGGCGAGGCCAAAGCCGGCGGCGGCGGAGGCTCGGCCGGAGCCTCGCGGTACCCGCCGCCACCGCCTCCGCCACCAGCGGTGGAGCAGTCGTGGTCGCGGCAAGGCTATAAGGCTTTCGACGAGATCCACCCGCGCGACCTCAAGCTGACCCGGCTGCTCGGCACCGGCGGCTTTGGCCAGGTCTGGGCTGGACTTTGGGGCGGAACGCCGGTCGCCATCAAGCGGCTAAAGCAGCAGACCCGGTCCGGCGCCGTGACGCCCGCCAAGATCTCCGCCTTTATGGAGGAAGCACGACTGCTCTCGCAAGTCCGCCACCCCAACTGTCTGCAGCTGCTGGGCGTCTCCACCCGCGGGCCTGACGTGTGCATCGTAACCGAGTACCTCCGCGGCGGCGACCTCAAGTCTGCGCTCTTTGACTCGTCGCTCCTCATCCGCGACACCAAGAAGATCGACATCCTCTCGCAAATTGCGTCGGGCGTCGAGTACCTCCACCGCAAGGACATCATCCACCGCGATCTCAAGCCGCACAACGTGCTCCTCGACTTTAACATGTCGGTTGTCAAGGTAGCAGACTTTGGCCTCTCGGTCGTCATCGAGCGACTCGAGTCACCGGCGAGCGGCGGCCCAGCGCCATCACGGGCGCGTTCCTCGTCGACCTTTCGCGCCATCGGCGTTGCAGGATCGCGCCGCTACATGGCGCCCGAGCTGTTTGTCGGCGGGACAGTGACGCCGGCCTCGGACACCTTTTCGTTTGGCGTCATCATCTGGGAGATGCTCTCGTCCAAGCGTGCATTTGACAACACTGACCGGACAGCCAACTGCTATGCCGGCCTCGAGCCGCCGCCGCCGTCGCTCCTCGCCTCGCTCCTTACCCTGCTTCTTGACGCCTGCCTCTCGGCGGATCCGGTGGCGCGGCCGTCGTTTGCCGACATTGTGGCCTCGCTTGCCGACGTCACCTCGCGCCTGGTTCTCGGCCAGGTCTTTCCTTCTGTTCCTGCGCTTCCGCTCAACTACGTCCACCGCGAGGCCTCATTTGCCGCCGCCAAGGACGCTCTGCTCTCGCTCGCAGCCAAGACCGACCACGCCGCCCAGCCGTCGGACCTCTTGCCCATCCGCGGCCTCTGCATTCAGGGCATGGGCGGGCTCGGCAAGTCGGTCCTTGCCGCTGCACTCGCTCGCGACGAGGACGTTCTCCGCATGTTCCCCGGCGGTGTGCATTGGATCTCCATCGGCCAGTCGCCAAACACCACCCGCCTCCAGCATGATCTCGTGCAGGAGCTTGGCAAGCCGTGCCCCTCGTTCTCAGACGTCTCTGAGGGCAAGAACATGCTCGCCGAGCTCTTTGCACTCCCCTCGCACGCTCGCTCGCTCCTGGTCCTTGACGACGTCTGGGTCACCGGCCACCTACTCCCGTTTGGTGTCCTCGGCCCCGGCTCGGCGTACCTGGTAACCTCGCGGATCCGCTCACTCGGCTCGATCATCAATCTCGTCGAGCTCCCGCTCTCGACGCTCGACCCGGCATCGTCGCTCGAGCTCCTTGCACTCTGGACCCACACTCCGGTCGAGAACCTGCCGCCGGCCGCGCACAAGGTCGTCGAACGGTGCGGCAAGCTCCCGCTCGCGCTCGCCATGATTGGTGCCATGGTCCGCAACATGCCCTCGCGCTCCTGGCCTGTCGTCCTGCAGCGGCTCGAGGACTCGGTCCTCCTCTCCGACGACGTCGGCGGCGGTCCCGATGCGCTCGCGCCTTTGGTAGTCAGCTCAACCCTTGAGCTCGGTGGCATTTTCACTCCAGGCGACGTCATGCGCTCCATCGGCGTCTCGATCAAAGCCCTCACTGCGCTCCGCTTCCGGTACTATGACCTCGCCGTCTTTCCCGATGAGACTGCGTTTACGCTCCCGGCGCTGGAAGCCCTTTGGGGCGCACTCCCGTACGAGCCGCTCGACCGCGCCGACGTCTCGCGCCTCGTCGAGGTCTTTGTCGAAAAGTCGCTGCTGCAGCACGACGAGAGGACCGGCATGTTGCGGCTTCACGACTTGCAGCGCGAGTACATTGTGACGGTCGCCCGCTCGCGGCGCGGCAAAATGCACAGCCTCCACTCGCGGCTGCTCGACGGGTACGCTGCGCGTATCCCCAGCGCCCACGGCTTTGTGTGCTGGGAGCACGGGCCCGACGAGGCGTACTACCTCCAGCACATTGTGTACCACCTTGTCCACGCCCAGCGCCGCGACGACATTCTCCGCCTCCTTCTCTCGTACGCATGGATCGAGAAAAAGATCTCGGCCGGTCTCGGCATCGAGGCTCTGGCGTCCGACTACGCGCTTGCTGCGCGGGCCTTTCCGGCCTACGCCGACCTGCTCCACGAGATCCGCGGTGCGCTCATGCTCTCAGCACAGGCTGTGCTCAAGCGGCGCGACCTGCTCTGCTTCCAGCTCATTGCGCGGCTCCAGTCGTCGCCACTCTCGACTCACCTCGGTTCGCTCCTCTCCGAGGCGCTCGAGTATCTCTCGCCGCTGCCGGACGCGGTGTACATTCCGTCATCGCCACTGCTGGAGACGCCGGGCAACGCGCTCATCCGAATTCTTCACGGGCACACCGAGCCGGTCTACGCCCTCACCACCACACCGTCGGCCAAGCTCCTGCTCTCGGTCTCACCGACCACCGTCATGATGTGGGACACGCTCTCGGGCCTTGCCGTCCGGTCGATTCCACGGACAGGCGCACGGGCGCCGGCGGCAGCGTCGGCCCAGGCCGAGCTTCCGGACGCACCGCACCCGGTCGCCACGCTTGTCAACAAGGTGCTCGAGCCGCGGGAGAGCGGGGCTTCGTCCGAGGCAGAAGCCTCGCTCTCGCGGTCACGCCAGAACCTGCAGTCCATTCACACCTACGCTGTTCATCTTGTGGTCGCTGACGAGCACCGGGTGTTTGTGGGTGGGTCGGGCGCCGTCCTCACGGTGTGGGATCTCTCGAGCGGCATCCCACTCGGCTCGATCGACAAAGCCGTCGACGTGACTGCGCTGGCACTCGGGGCCAAGGCCCGGACACTCGTCTTTGCGCTTCGCACCTCACGTCGGATCTACGTGTACGACCTCTCGCCTCCGGCGGCGCCCGAGTTTGCGCTCTCGCAAGCTGCCGTGTGTGTTGGGCACAAAGGCTACATCTCAGGCGTCTCGATCTTCCCCGACGGGCGGCGGATGGTGTCGTGCGCGCGCGACGCGTCGCTTCGAATTTGGTCGACAAGCAGCGGCGAGGAGCTCGCCCGCCTCGTCCACACCTCGTCGTCGATTTCTGCGGTGGTGGTGAGCGCCGAGTCGGGCGATGTGTTCTTTGCTTCGGGCTCGACAGTCACTGTGTGGACACCCGAGACCGACGAGCTGCGAACGCTCTCGCCTGGCACCTCAGGCTCGCTCGGCTCGTCGCGCGTGTCGACGCTGGCGCTGGCTCCGCCGTCGGACGCATTTGTCGTTGCCGGCACGGCTTCAGGCACGGTACTGGTGTGGGATCTCGCAACCGGCATTTGTATGCAGCATGTCTCGGGCCACCGCGGGCCAGTCCTCGGCGTCACCGCGCTCGCCCCCGAAGTGCTCGGCGGAGCCGGCGGGCACGAGCAGGCCGCATTCGGCTCGGTCTTTACCGCGTCCGAGGACCGGACCATCCGGCACTTTCAGATTGAGCGGCGCAAGGTTGACACGGCCACCATCCAGCGAATCCGGCACAAGGAGCCGACGACTTACCTTGCGCTAGCAACCGACGGAAGCTACATTCTGACTGGCGCGGCGGACCGGACGGTCATTGCGTGGTCAACCGAGCGGGCGAGCTCGTCGTCGCTCGGCGGACGACGGTTCCGGATTCTGGACAACCACCCGGGCGCGGTGACGGCGCTGGCGCTCACGCTCGACTCCAAGTTTGTGGTCTCGACTGCCGGCTCGCACCTCATGGTTTGGAATCTCAAGGCGGCGCGCTTGGTGTGGTCGGCGCGGGTCACCGAGTCGCCGATCTCATGCATTGCAGCGTCGAACACGGCAGTGGTGGCAGCCTGCGCGCTCGGCAGCGTCACTGTCTACGCCCTTTCGGACTCGGGCATGCTCGAGGAGGTGCAGGAGCTCCTCCCGCCGGCTCCCGGCCCGTATGAAGCGCCGGCGGCGGCGACGGTGCCTGCGGTGGTCATTTCACCCGAGTCGCGGCTGGTGGCGCTTGGATGGGCGACCGGCGAGGTCCAGTTCTGGCGGTCGGGATCGGGAGGCGGGAGCGGAGACTATGCACTGGTCACCAGCGCGAGCGAGCACAGCGGTGCTATCCGAGCTGCCTGCCTCTCACCGGAGAACACACGGCTCATCACCGGTGGCACCGACATGGCGATTCGTATGTGGGACACGGTGTCCGGCTCAGCCGTCGGCGCGTTCTTTCTCGACGCGCCAGTGGCATGCGTGGCGGTTGTGCCCTGGTCGTCACCGGACCTTGTACCGCGGTCTGTGGCACCAGAGCCGTCGTATCTCATTGCAGTGGCGCTCGACAACTGCACGGTCACGCTCCATCACTCGTACCACTACACCATGCTCGCCTCGTACCTCTTTGACGCTTCGATCAACGGCATGGCGGCGACGCCGTCGGCAGACCTGGTTCTAACCCACGTGGCCGGGCGGACGTACCATCGGCTCATCCGGCACTACGACCAGACCCACTCTCACGCCTCGCTCGGGCTCACGATGTTTGACTCGAACCGCCCGCGGTCGCTGCCGCGGATGGCGTCGGGCGAGGTTGGCGAGGGTTCGCCGGTCGTTCCCGCCGCCCCGCGCGACCGCGCTGAAAAGCCTGTGCGGCTGATCGAGCCGCGGGCAAGCGCTGCAAAGGGCAAAGCCAAGGGCAAGGGAAAGGTCAAGGGCAAGGGAAAGGTCAAGAGGAATGATGGCGGCACAGACGGAAGCATGTCGAGCGGGAAGGGGAAGGCTCCAAGCAGCCCGTCAGGCCGCAAGGACTCGTCGCCGTCGGAAGGCGCGCTCGCGCTGCACCTCGCAGCGTTGGAGACTGGCCCGTGGGCGTCGAGCGATGAGGGCGGGCCCGAGTTGAGCGGCTGCAGCGGGACTCCGCCAGCGACAAGTGGCGCCGAAGTGGGTGAACTGCGGCGTGTGGTGCGACCCAACTTTCTGCACCTGTACTGCTTCCGGCGGGGGCGGCAGCGTGTGCGAATGCTGGCAGTGCCGGCCAGCTATGAGTCGGTCACCCGCGACTGTGTGTACATTTTGGACACGGGCGCGGTGGTGTACGAGTTCTTTGGGCGGGCGTGCTCGACAAAGGAAAAGACCAAGGCGCTCGAGTTCACCACCTGGCTCCGCAAGCACGAGCGCGGCGGCGATCTGGAGCTTGTGCGGATCCTGGACACAAGCCGGCATCATGACGGCCACTCGCGGCGGTTTTGGCGCTGCTCTCGTATCCCGGAACGCATCCTCCGACGCTTGCCGAGTCACCTGCGGGATGGGCAGACATTGATGACGCACTGCACGCTGCGGTCCGGCTTTGGCGATTCAAGGACGTTCCGGTGTCTGTGACGACACCGTCGTCTGCTGCGCCGGTCCTCCCGCCGCCGACATCGCTGACGAGAGAGCTGTCATCGTCGTATGTGTTTGTGGACGCCGGGCGGGTGATGGCGCCCGAAGGCTCGTCGACCGGCGGCGACGAGTCGGTAGCCGAGGGTGGCGACGGCGGCGATGGGACCGAGTGCAGCGAAGGCGGCGGTGGTGGCGGCGGGAGCGGCGGGAGCGGACCTGGGAGTGGCTGCGGAAGCGGCGACGGCGACGAGTCCGAGTCGCACATGCAGCAGGTGGCGCCTTCCGTGCTCAACCTCGCGCTCGAGGTGGAGTCGTTGGAGACTACGAGTGCACTGGCTACGCCGCAGCTACTGAGCCATGGCTCGTACCTTCTTGTCCTTCCTCAGGTCGCGTACGTGTGGATCGGGGCGCGGTCGCCCATCACGATCAACATGGCCGCGCAGTGGGTCAACTCTGCGACAGCGCTGCCTGTGGAGACAGCAACGGCGCTGCTGGGCCAGCGGCTGCCGCGGCGATGCGTGACGGTTTACGAGGGCAACGAGCCCTTTCTCTTCAAAGAAGCGTTTGACGAATGGCACGAGCCGCGGCAGCGAGCGACGCCACCGCCGCGGGCTACGGGCTCGCTGTTGGCGTCGTCGTCCAAGGCAGCGCAGGTTGCGCGGCGGGTGCTGCAGTCGCGAGCGCGGAGCACAGCAGCACGGAGCTCGAGCGGAAGCGCGAGCGGGAGCGAGGCTGGCGGCGGCGGGACTACGGCCGGGGGGGTGTCGTCGCGGCGGGCGGCAGCAGCAGCGGTGGCGCGGAACCGTCGCACGTCGGCGATCATGGCGGACGGGGCCGCCGCGGCAGCGGCGCTGGCGGGCTCTGTTCGTGTTGTGGTCTTTGAGAACGAGCACTGCATCTACGCGTTGCCGCGAGAGTTCCACGGTCACTTTTTCTCTGGCGACGGATGTCTGGTGCTGCAAACGCTCGAGGGCGGGAGCGAGGGCGGTAGTTCGCACGACGACGACGGGTCACGGTCGCGGTACCGGGTATTTTTCTGGCGTGGCGCGGACGCGCCGAACAAGCTCTTCCTCAAGTTCAAGCTCAAGCTCAATGCCGGGGCGCTCGGTGACGTGTTTGGGCCGACGATTTCGCGGATCATCCAGACGACGACACGCGAGGTGGTACAGGGGCGGCATCCCGACAAGAACTTTACGGCGCTGTTCTCTGGCTCCCTGTTTGTGCACCACGGGCACGCGCGGTGCCGGATCCCGCTCCCGCCATCGGCCATTCTGCGGGTTGCGCCCGAGTACCGGCTGCGGATGGCGCGAGGCAACGAGGGTGAAGCGCGCAGCGACGATGGGGCGTGGAACGCGCGGCAGCTGGAGCCGAGTAGCACGGCGCGGCTGTATGCGGTGCGCGGACTCGGGTCGGCTGGAGGTGTGCTACTAACGGCCGACGAGGTTCCGCCGGTGGCGTCGTCGCTCAACTCATCGCACGCGGCTGTACTGCTGGCTGCGCCTCGGGCGGCGCTGTGGATCGGGGCCGGAGCGCGCGGGTCCGAGGTTGCGGGCGCCCGGCGGTTCTACTCGTCACTGCGGGAGAGCAGCGAGCTCGGCGAGCTGGTGGAAGTTGCCGAGGGCAGTGAGCCGGAGTGGATGTGGGCCGCAGTAGGCGGGCGGGCGTGGTACCCGAGCTCTGCGGTGCTGCGCAATGCCAAGCGCGACGAGCCAGCGCTGTTCCGGTGCTCGACAGCCAAGGGCATGTTTGAACTTGCCGAGATGGTGGGGCGGATGCCGTCTGCGCTCGAGCCGTCGTGCGTGTACATGCTCGTGGCGCTCCCGCACATCTGGCTGTGGATTGGATCGCAGGTGACGACGTTCGAGGCGAGCGAGGCACGCGAGGTGGCCGAGGCGTACGCCAAGGAGGAGCCAACGTCGGCGCACGTGCTCGAAGTGCATGCCGGGCGCGAGCCGATGGCATTCTGGTCGCTATTCCGGGGGTGGGTCGCGCCGAACCACGGCGGTTACCCGCAGCAGGCAGCCATGGACGCGGAGCTGGCGCGGGCCGGATCGACTCTCTGCACCGCTGACGTTGTGGGCGTCACGCTCAACGCCGCGCAACAGCCGATGGTCTCGTGCCGCCAGTGCGGGCTTGTCGATGGAGTGTACGCCTGTCGCCGATGCGGGGAGCGATGTGCGAGCGCTGGGCACACCGTAGCCGACGTCGGCGTCCTCCCCTTGGTTTGTGGCTGGCGTTGTACCGATCACAGAACCGGCAGTACCAGCAGCGAGTGAGAGTGTGTAAAAGAGGTACCACCTTGCCCTCCCCTCCCCTCCCCTCCTCTACCCTCCTCCCCTCCCCTCCCCTCCCCTGCCTATCCTGATCAATGCCCATCCGATCGATACCCGGTGACCCGACAACCACCGTGGTCAACTCCCCGCAGAACACCGCCCCGATCGATCTTGCCCTCCTTCCCTCCCACCCCTCGACACCCCCCCCCCCCCCCCCCCCACCACCACCACGGAACATGTCAAGCGGAGCAGACGGGCTCCTCGGAGCGGTGGTGGACGAGGCGTGCCGAAGCGGGGAGGAGCAGGCGGTGCGTGAGGCGCTGGCCACCGGGTACGGGTGCGACTCGGCGTACAAGGGGTGGACGCCTCTGCAGAGGGCGGCGGCGGCGGGCCATGTGGCCATTGTCGGCCTTCTATGTGAAAGTATGGAGCCAAAGTGGATTTGCGGCGAGCAAAGACCGGTGCCACGGCATTGATGCTCGCCAGTGGCTGCGGGCATGTCAATGTGGTGAGGTTTCTGGTCAAGCAGACAAGAGCCGACGTCGATGCCTGCAATGACGAAGGCGCATCTCCATGCTATCTCGCGGCACAGAACGGGCATCTCGAGGTGGTGCGATATCTGGTTTCCGACGTCGGCGTGGATCCACTCTCGCCGCTGCCGGACGGTACGTCGACGGTGTACATTGCGGCTCAGAACGGCCACGTCGACGTCCTGCGCTTTCTCCTCGGCCAGGTTCCCGAGGCTGCCATGGCCCGCCGGGCGGAGGGCGCCTTCCCGCTGCTTGTGGCTGCTTTTAGCGGCAAAGTCGAGGTCGCACGACTGCTGGTTGAGGAGCACGGGGCAGACGTTGACGAGTGCGACGCCAACGGGGTGACGCCGCTGTATGTGGCGGCACAGAACGGGCACCTGCCGATGGTGGCGTATCTTGCAACCGACGCCGGCGCCGCGGTCGAGGCCGCCGACGTCAAGGGCATCACGCCGCTGTATGTGGCGGCGTACTCGGGCCAGCTGAGCATTGTGCGATACCTGGTGGAGAAGGCTGCCGCCGATGTACAGCACGGGCGCGACTCGGGCGCGACGCCACTGTACATTGCAGCGCAAGTCGGCCATGCGCAAGTTGTCGAGTACCTAGCGACGACCGAGAGCGGCGGCGTGAACGCGATCAAGAGCAATGGCGAGACTGCGCTGCACACGGCAGCGCGGTACGGCCACCTACCGGTTGTGCAGTTTCTGGTCTCGCCTGCCGGCGGTGCCGACGTCGACCGAGTCCGGCGCGACGGCGCGACGCCGTTCTGGGTCGCAGCGCATGCGGGGCGGGTCGACGTCGTCCGCTGGCTCGCTTCCGCCGCACAGGCTGACGTGCGGCGGCCGACGTGCGACGGGACAACTCCGTTTGCCGCGGCGTGCGCCCGCGGGCACGTCGCTACCGTTGCTTGCCTCGCCGTCGAGGTCCTTGCGCTCACACCCGGCGACTTTCCGGTCGACGCCACGGCGTACTCCCCGACATCATCCGGGTCCTCATGTCTGCACTTGCTGGCAAGATGGTCGGCGAGCGAAGCCGTGGCATGGTCGTCGATGGGAGTGGGCAGCGGCTGTTTGGCGTGCTCTCGCGGGCGGCGCTCGAGCTGTACGCCGGCATGCGGCTGGTCAAGCGAGTGCTGCTCTCGCGGGTCGAGGCCGTCACCCGCGACAGCGCCAGCATACTTGTACGCTGCATCGGCGGCGAGACCGTAGCGCTCGACGCCAGCAGTGAGGCCAACGCTGCGGAATGGGCGGCGGCGCTCGACGAGGCGACTGGCCCCGGGCGGCTCGACTGGCGGCTTCAGGTCGCCGACCTAGTCCTTGACGAGACCAAGTCCGGGGTGTTGGGACGCGGCGCCTTTGGCGTTGTTCGTCGTGGAACGTGGCACGGTTTTCCGGTGGCGGTCAAGCAGCTGCACGATGCTGAGAGTATGGGCCAAGCGGCGCGGGCCGAGTTTGTGCACGAAGCCGAGCTCATGGCCGGCTTGCGGCACCCGAACGTGGTCCGCTTCATCGGCGCCTCACTCGACGCCGACTCTCCATGCCTGGTAACCGAGCTTCTGGAAGGTGGCTCGCTGTACTCGCTTCTCCACACGAAGCGGAGCTTTGCCGTCGACTGGCCGCTTGTTGTTCGCATCGCGAGCGACGTCGCAGCCGGCATGGCCTACCTCCACGCTTGCGAGCCGCCGGTTGTTCACCGCGACCTCAAGTCGCCCAATGTCCTCCTTGACCGCAGCCTCCGGGCCAAGATCGCCGATTTTGGCCTGACCAAGGCCATTGCCGAGACCGGTGTCCACACAACTGCCGGAACCGCTCGCTGGGCCGCACCCGAGCTCCTCCGCAACGAGGCGTACGGCCACAAGGTCGATGTCTACTCGTTTGGCGTTTTGCTGTGGGAGATGTGTACGCGGAGTGTGCCGTACCGCGAGCTCGACAACAATCAAGTCATCTTCCGCGCCCTCCGCGGCGGCGCACGGCCGACCATCCCCGACTACGTCCCGCCCACACTCGCCGCACTGATGTCCGAGGCCTGGGCCGAGGACCCGACCGTGCGTCCAGCCTTTGTTGACATTGTCGCCCGCCTCGACCTCGGCGCGCCGTCGGTGGCTGCCAGCTCGGGAGGCCCTGCCGTTCCTGACGGTGTGCCAGGCACTCGTGCCCCGCGTGGTATGCTCCTCTCGTCATCGTCGTCGTCCGATGCCGACGATGATGGCCAGGCCGATCCTGCCGACGAGAGCGATGACGACAACGACAGCGACGACGAGCCACTGCTCCGCACCGTTGTCCACTTCTCCGCCTCAAATAGCGGCGCCAGTCCGGATCAGGGCTCATCATCGACGGCCGCACCTCGCGGCGGTTTTGACATCAGCGTCATCTCGTCCTGGCTCTCGTTTGACGTAGCCTCGTGGTGGGCGGGCAAGAGCTGAATGTAGTCGACATCGCTCGAGAGTGGGTGTGTACCGGGAAAAAATATTTGCCGCTTAAAGCCGCACGTGCATGTCTTCCAAACCTTGCAGCGTTGCAAGGCAGCAAAGGCCGACGCGTGCCAGTGAGCAAAGTGAGCTGGTGTGGACCGAGCGAGCCACTCTCTCATGCCATGACATTCCTCGTCTCTAGTCAAGGCAAGCGAGGAGTGGCCATGGCGGAATCGCCCTCCATACCCGCCATGCCCCCTTTGCCGATGCAGACCAGGGATGAGCTCCACCGCCGCGCCCGTCACGGACCTACCCAGACGTGTCACCACTCTGCCGAGCCATGCTGCTCACGCGCCAACTGCCGGCTCTGCCACCGCCACCAGCACCGTTACCACGACCACGACCACGACCACGACCACGACGACGACCACAACCACTCTCACATGAAAAGACGTGGCCGATGCGGGGAGGTTCGCCTTTCGTGCCGTGGTGGGGTTCGTGGGGCTCGTGACGGCTCGCTCCGCAACAACTCTCCTCACCACCACAGCAGCCACAGCCGACGCCGTGGCACGCTCATGCTCATCCTCCTCGTCAGTGCGGTAGTACTGGCAGCGACAGTCAGGGTCGGCGAGGCGAGCGAGACCAGGACAGGTTCGGTGGCCTCGGGAGATGCTGCGTCGATGCAGATCAGCACTGGGTTCGTCAGCAGTGATCCCGGACATGTCGATTTCGATGGCTCAGAAGAGCAAGGCGCCGCCATTTTTCAACTCTCGGGCTCGGTAGTGAGCACAACAGGGGTGATCTGGATCGAAAGTGCAATCCTCACTCTGCGAGATGTCGATGCGCCAAGCCCGATTGCTGTCAACCTTGCCTTCTACAACTACTCGGTGGCAGACAAGGGCAAGACGTTTGACGACCCGCCGTGGTCTGACTTGTTTGGGTTGGACGCCTTTCCCACCTCGGCTCCATACACAGTCACATTGTCGCCCAGCTCGCCATCGTTTGTGGCTACGACCGCGCTACGGCCTTTCCTCACAGACGCCTATTTGGCAGATGCCTTTGACGGCAATCGCTTTGCCATTCGCCTCTCCATGGTGGCTGGCGAGTGTCCGGCCGGCACCTGCCGCATCGACTTTGACCCACAGCCGTCGCTGTTCATAACTTACCATGAGGTCTGTCCCGAGATCTCGGTGGAGAACGGGTCCGTGAGTAACGATCCAACAACCGGGCGCCCGATGGCGCTCACAGGTGACAAACTGCGTATCACCTGCGACTCTGGATTCGACGAGTCCGGCGTGGACGGCAGCGACGATGTTACCTGTCTCAGCGACGGCTCCTACTCGCCAGCCACCCCAAGCTGTGTGGCTCTCTCGTCACCGCCACCCCCACCATCGCCACCGCCACCACCAGCACCGCCACCATCTCCTCCTCCACCACTGCCATCGCCACCACCACCACCGCCACCATCTCCTCATCCGCCACCGCCACCGCCGTCGCCACCACCACCACCACCACCACCATCACCGCCACCGCCACTATCACCACCGCCACCATCTCCTCCACCACCACCGCCACCATCTCCTCCACCACCACCGCCACCATCACCGCCACCGTCACCACCACCTCCGCCATCTCCACCGTGCCCGCTACCAGCGTTCTTGGACAGCTGCGGCGTGTGCTCTGGCCCAGGCACCGGTCATGTGGGTGACTCTGACCTCGACGCCTGTGGCGTTTGCTTTGGCGGCAACGGCGATCTCGACGACTGCGGAGTCTGCTTTGGAGGCAACTCTGCCAAGGACGGCTGTGGCGTGTGCTATGGAAACAACGCGACGTGCGCCGGGTGCGACGGTGTACCATACTCGGGCAAAGTACCGGATGTTTGCGGCGTGTGTGGCGGCGATGGTTCGGGGTGCTCGGGCTGCAACTTTATCCCGATCCCACTCGGCGGCGTGTGGTTTGACGGGTGCGGTGTGTGTGGCGGATCGGCCAGCATCTCGACATGCGCCACACCATGCATCGCCAACACCACGGCGGTGTTCGACTGCTTTGGAGTGTGCAACGGTACAGCATACGTCGATGACTGCGGTATGTGCGTCGGTGGCGCCACGTCGAACACAGCCAACTTTTTCAAGGATGCGTGCGGGATGTGCTTTGGCGGCGAGACTGCTCGCGATGCGTGCGGCGACTGCCACGGCGGCAACGCGCGCCGCGACGAGTGCGGCATCTGCGGTGGCGGAAACTCGCGGATGGACAGCTGCGGGGTGTGCTTTGGCGGTGAGCGAGGCAAGGACATATGTGGCGTGTGCGGTGGAAATGGAACAAGCTGCATCGGTTGCGACGCTGTCATCGACTCGACTGCCGCCTTTGACGCATGCGGCGTGTGCGGCGGGCACAACGAGTGTCTTCGCGAGCGCAGCTCATCCAGCTCGCTGACGTTGCCAGTGGCGGTTGGCAGCAGTGCTGGCGTCCTACTCTGCTGCGTTGTCATTGTCATCTGCATTGTCATGCTCTCGCGGCGGTCGCGACGAGTGGCGACCGAGGCCATCACTGCAAGCAAGGCCAAAGCTGCGCTTGCGGTAGCGCCACAGGGCGTAGTCATTCTCCTTGTCACCGATGTGGTCGACTCGACTCGGCTGTGGGAGGAGGTGCCGGACGTGATGGCAGCATGCTCGGTGCAGCACGATGCTATTGTGCTCAATGCTCTCGCGGCACACGACGGGTACGTGGTGCGCAACGAGGGTGACTCGTTCATTGCCGCCTTTCCAACGTCCCGAGCGAGCGCCGCCATCGACGCTGCCCGCGACATCCAGCACGAACTTGCCAACACCGACTGGCCGCGTGGTCTCAAGTTGCGAACCCGCCAAGGCCTAGCCTGTCGCATCGGTCTGCACGCTGGTCGACCGGTGATCCGATTTGACGAGCGGACGCAGCGGGTGGCGTACGGCGGAGTTGCCATGGTCCGTGTCGACGCCATCACGAACATGGGTGGTGCCGGCGAGATTGTTGTCTCGCAAGCGGTGCTGATCATGGCCGGCGGTGGGTATGCCACTCGCGAGCTGGGCACTGCTCCAGGCGGCAGCGACGCAGTTGTGTACAAGCTGATGATGGCGAGCAGCAACGAGCTGTCAGGCTCATCCACTACCAGCGCTGACGAAACGTCGACAACATCACTCGCGACAGCACTCGCCGGCCTCGGAAACGTGGTCCCAACGGCGACGACACAGTCTGTTCCGCAGTCGGCCCTGGCCTCGCTCGCCGAGCTGCTCTCGGATCGTGAAAGCGAGTCGTCGCACCAGTCGAGCGGGCCGGAAGTTCGCAAGTCAACCCGCTCGCAGTCGGTGGCTGTCGACCTGGGCTGGGGCCCATCGCGCCGGGCACAGGCGCCGACCCGGACTCGGACCCGAGCTGAGACCCGGAGCCGCACAAGGACCGGCTTGCGCCAGAGGGTGCGGACTAGATCAAAGCGCCGGCGTCACGCCTCGGTCGAGCTTGTCCCGTCGTCGTCACAAGCCAGCATGTGCTCCTCGATTCCCGAGCTGGCCGAGACGATCAGACTTCGGCAAACGCGCTCTTCACTTGGGGTGCTGCCACCTGCCGGCTCGGGCGTCTCGCGGCATCGGGTGCGATCGAGGCGCAAGCGCCGCAACCGCGACAGGGCTACACGCTTGCGAAAGTCGTCGAGCAACGTTGTGACCAGAGGCCTGCGGCACGCCTCAATCTCGGTATGCGGTCCCGTTGTCAAGCCTTCTTCGTCTCTCGGTGCACTCGGCGCATCGATGGTCTCGTCTCCCAGCCTCTCCGCCACCGTCACAGAGTCTGGCTCCGGCTCGCACCTCACCTGCGACGATAGCATCTCCGTTCTCATCACGCCACACCACGCCTTGACAGCCGGCACCCCGACTCCAACCGCCTTGATGAGTCTCGTCTCCAGCCCAACAGTAGGCCCCCATGCGCCGGCGTCCGAATGTGGGCGCTAGCATGGTAGCCCACGTGTTTCCATTCGAGTCGGATGACGTTCCAATGAAAGAAACCGCCACAAAACTGGGCGCCGTTTTCGTGTGTCACGCTGCGCAACAGAGCAAGCAAGATCAACAACAGCACACGCGCGCGCCTGGTTCTTGATCATGTCGGCATCAAGCAGTATTTCACGCGGAAGGGGTCGAAACCGCGGCAAGGGCAAGCCGGCCGCCGGTGGCAACAACCGCGAGTCGCGGAGGACCCTGGGTCGTGAGACGGTGGACATTGCCAACTCCGGCATGTGCGGTACGGTGGAGATTGGGCATCTTGTCGAGGCGGCACGAAGCGGACGGGTCGAGTACGGGCCCAAGGACGACGTGGTGAGCGAGTGGGATGCGATCCGCGGCGAGGCGGCGGAAGTGGAGACGGTGTTCGAGGTCACGCCCGAGAGCTCGATGAAGGCGGCTCGGCGGCTGGACGCCGCAGCGCCGGGCCAGGTGGCGGTCCTCTCGTTTGCATCGGCCAAGAACCCGGGAGGCGGGGTGCTCAAGGGATCCAAGGCGCAAGAAGAGGACTTGTGCCGGGCGTCTGCGCTGTACAAGTGCCTGCTGGGCGCGCCCGGTTACGCGGCAAACAAGGCCAATGACCGCCGCGGCCTCTACACCGACCACGCACTTTACGTTCCGCAGGTCCCAGTCTTCCGGTACCCGAACGGGAGGCTCATCGCTAGCAGCTCCGAGCTCAAGGTAATGTCGTTTGTCTCGAGCGCAGCGCCAAATCGCGGGCGGCTGGGCAAGAACCGGAGTGGCGAGTGCAAGGCGGCGCTTGTGAGAAGGATTGAGCGGGCGCTGGCCATGATGGCCGTCCATGGGCACAGGCACATTGTGCTTGGCGCGTTTGGGTGCGGAGTGTTCAAGAACCCAGCTGACGAGGTGGCTGCTGTGTTTGCAGACGTGCTGCGCTCGCCGCGGTTTGCCGGAGTTTTTGAACTCGTCGTCTTTGCGGTTCTGTGCAACAGCACAGGGCGGCCGACGGCCAACTTTCGGGCGTTTGCGGCCAAGTTTGCAGCCGAGGGCGGCGCGAGCGACTAGTAGCCAAGCGCGCGCGAGAGGAGGCCGAGGACGCCGCCAAAGACATTGCCCCAGACAATGAGCCAGCCGAGATGCTCACGAATGACGTCCTCGATGAGGCGCTTGACGGCATCGGGTGTGAGCTCCTGGAGCTTGACGTCCATCATCTGCTCAACCTCTTCGCGCATGGTGTCGACGTTGAGCATGGAGTTTGCGTCAAACATGTCCATCAGCAGTGGGGCCATGTCCGAACCCATGTCGAGAACAAAAGGCTTGATGATGGGCTTGAGCGAGGCCGGGTCGATGCCGAGCATGGCCAGCATCATGCCTTCGGGCGGGCGCCGAGATCACCGAGCTTGGAGTCGATGATGGCGTCGACCTGCGGCGACTCGAGCAGAGCCTGGATCTTGTCTTCGATGTTGATAGAGGCTGTTAACTGGCCGGCCTTTTGCTCGAGGTAGTTCTCGAGGAAGCGGCGCTCAAAGAAAGTCTTGAGAAACATGTCCTTGATGGAGGCACGGATCTCGCGGAAGCGCTTGGGAATGACGCCCGAGCCCGGCAAGCCGCACACGTTGTCAAACAGCATCTTGACGGCGAGCCAGTTGGTGACGCCGCCGGCAAAGCCAAAGAGGCCAAAGGCGAGGATGTACTGGCCAAAGACGTTGGAGCCCGAGACAGCGTCCGGCGGACAGGTCACTTTTCTGCGATCGGGCACGCCGCCCGGGGTAGACGCCACGATGATGAGGCCGAGGATCATGGCCGAAAAGGTGGCCATGTTGGAGAGCGAGCCCTTGTTGGTGAACCACCCAGCCAAGCGCTTGCCCCACGGCTCGGTTGGCCGTCTCGCCACCCCAAAGAAGTCGGTCTCGGCCTCTGCCGTCAGCCTCACGCCGCCTCTATGACCCGATGACATAGTTGGCGAGAGCGGGCGCGACGGGCCGCCTCCACTCGATGACGATGATGACAGGAAGTCCATTGATCTGCATGTGTGTGTGTGTGAGTGGGGGCAGGGAGGCAGGAGGTGGAGGGGGGGGGTGGGGCCGGAGGGAGGAGGGGGAGGGGGGAGGGGGGAGG